CATACAAAAAAGTACATCAGAAAATCCCCAGTTGTTGTAGTAGAGCCTGCTACTGAGTACATTGTGTACTACTAACATGCCGGAGAGGAAGTAGAGCACATAGCCTCGCAAATTACTTACCTGGGTGCTTCACGGGAACAGTAGTTTGGAATCCACTGTCGGCAAATATGGGCCGTTGGGGTGGGCTGGACCTGAATGGTTGAATATACCAGGATAGGCGAACAGAGCATGCCAGAAGAACAGTACTTAGAACATTAGTAAAGTACATTGTACATTATTCTTTGGCTATGTTGGTGCTTGTGTGTACGTATACATATGTAGGGGATGGTGTGGATTCATAGGAAACATCAAAAACAACAGGCAGCTTTCAATATATCAATATCTTTATGACAGTTTTCGACACTACATACATGTACAAGTCATTTGTAGAGAATGCATCTATGATCACAAAAATGCACATATTGCTTCATTTTGCCTATGGTCTTCAAGGACTTTGTTTGGCTCACAAAGGTGTCACGAGTTTCAGTGTAGACAGGATGGACTATTGTTCTCTTTTCCTGGAAAGTCTTTATCATGATACAGGATATATGCATGTGTTTTTCAGGTGCGACGGCATGGGATTATGGCAGCGGAAGCACGGGTGAGTCCTAGTCTGTACTTACACATTTACAGTGCGATAACAGGTATGCAGGGGTACAGAGTATTGCTGAAGCGTTAAGTCATCGGATGTGCTTTGTGTGTTTGCTTGAACACAATTTGGAAGGGAAATAAGGTCATTGCACCCTATTCAATGTACGAAAAGTGATGATAGGTTATGCAATCAGACTCACTTGGCAATTCGCAAGAGGGGGGATGTTTTAAAAAGCAAAGGGAGCTTAAAATTCCTTATACAAAAATTAATGTTATTTTTCAAGTCAAAGGAATACACAATCAGCCAAGCCTCTGGAGTATATAATTGCTTTGGATGTTGATAATACCAATGAATGTATCTTAACTCCTGTCGTATATTGTCCTTTCAACAGGACCTGCGAACTGGGCTACTGCGGTTACCAACAGCTCCTGTGGCGGCAGCTCTCAGTCTCCCATCAACATAGTCTCGGCATCAGCCACCCAGCAAACCTACACCGCGTTCACCCTCACTGGGTACGATACTGTCCCTAGTGACGTCACGATGACCATGTCCAATAATGGACACTCAGGTATGATCACATCCGCTGTCCTATCCTTCTAACGGCTCTTTGTCATCTGTACAGTTGTGACTTGACTTACTTGACTTATGTCGAGTCCTGGTGTCCCTGGCCTCGAGACAAAATGTAAAATGTAAATGTGTAAATGTAAACTTGTAAATGTAAGTGTGGCCCTGCTTCCCTCTTTCTTGATTTTACACCACCTATTGCCTTGTACAGTTGTAGTTGTGCTGTTCTCTCTCCCCCTCTCTCTCTGTCTCTAGTGGTTCTTTGTCATCTGTATATAGTTGTGCTGTTCTCTCCCCCTATCTCTCTGTCTCTAGCGGTTCTTTGTCATCTGTATAGTTGTAGTTGTGCTGTTCTCTCTCTCTCCCTCTCTCTCTGTCTCTAACGGTTGTCATCTGTACAGTTGTAACGTCCTGTGCTGTTCTCTCTCTAACGGTACTTTGTCATCTGTATAGCTGCGGTTGCGCTGTCCTCTCTCTAACGGTTCTTTGCCCTTCCTTCAGTCTTGGTTAAGCTGTCCTCTCTGTAACAGTTCTTTGACATCCCTACAGTTCTGGTTGAGCTGTCGTCTCTCAAACGGTTCCTTGCCATCGAGTTCTGTCTAACGACTCGTTGCCATCCCAACAGTTGTGGTTGCGCTGACCTCCGCCTCTAACGCCATCTCCATGTCGGGAGGCGGGCTGACGGGCACGTACATCGCCGCACAGTTCCACTTCCACTGGGGCAGCCAGTCTGACCTGACGGTCGGCTCGGAACACACTCTCAACGGTAACGCCTACCCAGGAGAGGTACGGACAACCAAACGCGGTCAAACATACTCTTATTTATCCAGCGTAGCAATTCATGTTAGACAGTAAGGTATAAGAAAGGTATATGAGAAAAACAATACAGGACTTGTATGTTGAGTATTTAAATTCTACAATAGTTTTTTTTTCTTTTTTCTTGATCATATATGTTGACTGTTTGTTCGCAGCTCCACATCGTCCACTACTCGTCTACTTACAGCTCGCTCGGCGATGCGGTCGCTTCTGGCTCCGCTACCGCCCTGGCCGTCCTCGGGTTCTTCATGGAGGTGGAGGTAGACCAATTTTTCCACTCAGCCTTTTGTGTGAATGATATTAACATATATACATGCAATACATATTAGCTGTAGTATATAAATGTCAGCCTTTTTAGCTTTCGTTTGCTCTGCCGGTAGCGGATAGTGGGGAGCGGACGAAAGCTAAAAGCCCTGACATTCAGACTACAGCCAATGCGTATTGCATGTATATATGTTAATATCATTCACACAAAATAGAATATAGTTTATAGTGAGCGATGACTAGTGTAGTGTGCCACACTCAACGCACCCTCCATGTCATCAGGAACTTCTAGTAAATGAAACGTAGTGTAGCAGTTCCTATAGCTAGTCCAAGCATTCTCTCTTTTTTTTGAACAAATGAAACGTGTACAGAATCAAGTTAAGTGTAAGAGGGGACAGATTAGTTTTAACGAATTCCATGTTGCCTCCCCTCAAGGTGGACGGCGATGACAACTCTGGCCTTGCCCCAATCGTCGACAACATGCAGAATGTGAACGACTCAGGTGGGTATAGAAAACCTGACTACAGTATGATTGTTTATGGGGTTGTTACTAGTAATATTGTAGTGTCACTGCGTTTTGCAATTGGTATCATCATTATGTTTATTATGTTTACCGAAGGAAAACATATTGTTTTTGCTACATTTCCTCCTCTTCTCCAAACACTGATCTCTGGCTGGTCAATGACATTCTTTGTTGACGTCTCTCACCATGCTAACTGGTGTTGGGTTACATAATGTTGCAATTTTATAGTAGGAAGGATTTATACTCCTGTCTGACCATATATATGAATGTATTTGAGTAAGCATTAACAGAGCACACCATATGCGAAGCCGAAGGTAAACATTATGCATTACGTTAACCACTATGGCCTACATGTAGCTATCGGTCGTTGAGTTTGCAAATACGTGAGGAACCTTTGATTTAAACTTTTGTTGTTTGTCCAGGTGACTCGTACCAGTTCACTACGAACTTTGCCCTGAACACCATGCTGCCGTCCAGCAAGACCAACTTCTTCCGCTACAGCGGCAGCCTGACCACCCCTTCATGTAACGAGGTGGTGGTATGGACCGTCTTCGAGAACACCATAAAGATCTCACAAAGTCAGGTAAATATCAAGCTTCTTTCTAACCGATGCAATCCAGTAGAACTACTAGTAGTACAATGTATTTGAAAGTCTCGAGCACGATTTGGTAGCGTAACAGACACATACACGGTCGAAATATCGAAGTGTTTTATGACTTATTTCCGCACAGATGAACACCCTGGTCACCGGCGCCTATTACACGGCAGAGGCTGGCCAGGCGGCGGCAGTGATGGCCGACAACTACCGCCCGGTTCAGAACCTCAACACGCGAACGGTCTACAGCTCCTTCGCCTCTGCAGCCTCCTTGCGGGTCCTGCCGGCATGGCAGCTCCTTGTCGCTGCTGTCGCTTGTGCCGTGGCCGCTGCTCGCAGGCAGTGATGTTTTGACGCTCTCAGTAGCTCCATAGATGTTATCATGAGTTCAATGAAATATCTGTGTGCTTTGCTTGGTTTTTTATTGGTACTGCCCTACTCTCATTTGTATCTCTTATTTCCACTCATTGTATTGTAGGATTTTGAGACGTTTCAGACTGATAACAAATACCTATACTTCTACTAGCTTTTCAGCTCTGGAATCATGAGCTCTGGAATTTTTAATGTTTTAAAGACAGCTGGTCCACTAAGAATGTATATGTATACAGGTTGCATGTAAGCAGTGCGTATTAACATTTAGTCTTCGTTAACAGTTAGATTTGAAGAGCTAAAGATGAACATTTAGATATTAAGAGAACTCAGTACATTCCACCTTTATTAATTTTTTTAAGGCATTATAAATTTCTCATTGCTGAAGCATATGAACTATGGCTATACGCACATTTGTGTACTTTGCTAACATTGTGGTGTCAATAAAGTTCTTGACCTTCTTGTTTTCCATCTCAGTATGTGAGCGTTGTTAATACAAAGGCTGATGTGGTTCGTTTACAGCATGGTTGAAAGGAGCAGCATTTACCTGTTTACCAAAAAACTCCAACATGGACACCTATGGATTTCATGTAAAAAGTTTTGACATTTATTTATCCTTTCATCTCACAGTATAAACACTATCATATAATGGGTAATACACGTAGATGTGATACAAATGAAGATCCAATGTTTAGTTACATGGCAGATAACATCACAATGACTTTTAAATACACAATAGTTATGGGGTATAGGAAAGGAGGGGGTAATGCCTTGTTGCTCATTACAAAAAAGGCACCCCAATTTTACAGAGTACAAGATAACACGTACACCAGAATGTTGTATGCTTTGAGAAACATGCACCTGACAGTGATCTGGGTGTAAAAGCTACATGCACCATGTTCGACTGCCATCCATTCAATGACATCCACTGTGATAGTATTTGTAAGTAGTGGAAGGTTTGTGGGTCCAGTGAAGCTGTCATATTATCAATAGCATCACAACAATTTGAGGCTGTATGGTAATTGCACACATAGGTGGCTTTTGTAATGTGTGTTTGTTCACCATATCCTAGTAACGTATAACAATTCAAACAGAGGCTAAAGATTGCATAATAGTTGACCTGGAATGGAAACTGCACGTTGACAAAATTATGGTGAAAATCTTGTTCTTTGGACTATTGCACACTTGTGTTGTGTCTCCCCACAGGTTACAATTTGTACAACTGTGTTCATGTATTGTTTAAAAAAAGTACAAAATGAAACTTTTTCCTAGATCATCCTTTCTTCATCATTTCCTTATCTCCATTTGTGTGTATAGATGGGCTCAATGTCGATGTAAATACACAGCCAGGAAACCAAATATGAACCATTCAACAATGGGTGAACTGAAAATGACAAATTTCCTGATGCTGTATGTCAGTCCATTAGCTATTTTTATTTTTTTTAAATTCATAAACTCAAATACATGAGCACAAGGGATCCATCTTATAGAACAGTTGTCAATCCCTTGTAGCGATTTGGCGGCAAGCCAGTTGTATACTCCTCATTCTTGCTTGCTGCAGAGGTTATACACTGTACCCAACCAGAACATATCTATACTATATACATTTTGCCTCCAAAAAAAGATACTTTTTTCCTTTTATTTCATTAATGTAATTTCAATCATAATCAGGTCAAAGAAACCTAAAGACCTAATAAATTTCAGTTTTGACATACTCAATATCATCTTCTGCTTCACATTATTCCAGTCCTGACAGTATTAAATGAAGCTTATCAAATCACAAAAGTTCTATTTGATTGATGAGGTAAGTTCTTGAACCAATATGATGTACAGTGTTGCGGACTGAATCTTTCAGGACCCGTGTGACAGAGTTACCTCCGTCGACCATGCCTATCCCGAGAGTGGCTGCTGTGTTTGGCTGCTTTATGCCTCTCCCTTGATCGAGACCGAGATGAGTGCCTCGGTCTCTCCTTGTGGTAGTGTTTCCTACTGTACCTATCTGGAGACCTACTGTGGGACCGACTTCTACTGCGGCTTCTACTGCGAGAGATGGGAGATCTTGTTCGGCGCCGTTTGTGCGAGTGTGACCGCTTCCCGCTGAGGGCTCGCTTGTGCCTCTCGTGGGACCTGCGCTCCCTGTTGCGGTCGCGGGGAGGGGAGAGCCTGGCGTGGTGGCCGTTGCGTGTGGGTGAGCGGCTGCGACTGCGGCTCCCGCTGTCACTCCTGCTGCGGCTGCTACTGCGCGAGGATCCCGACTGGCTGCGGGCCTTCCTGCGGGGAGACCGAGATCGACTTCTGCTGCTGCGAGATCGACTTCTATCCCGACCTCCTCGATTCTCCTTGTGGCTGTAAAGATTGATCACATATTTTTAACTATTTTTGCTGAGAATATTATGCGTAAAATTTACTTGCTGTGGCCTAACACTACCAAACTGTTTGGTCATATGCAATATTGTAACTTACTGGTAAGAAGATTGCTTTGCTTTGCTGCCAAACACAACTGCTGTATCAGTATCCGCACTTATGAACATTCTGCATAATTCTGTGTACTTTGCAATCCTACTGAGGTCTAGATTTCCTCAGAGCTTCTAGTCAGGGATACTTATACACCTGTATAACGTACCTGTGAGCACTTCCTGAACTGGCACCATCCTCTCTCTTCACTTTCTTGTCAGAACTGGCATCACGGACAGGGGAGGGTTTGGCACTGAGGTTTTTAGGTGAAGCTGAAAAAGATAATCCTGTGTTACCAAAGTGCTAAATGTACTGCAAACTGTCAACACACAGGAGACAAGAAGTCTACTAAGGCCATGTTGATTTGATTATATGGATGACATCCGCGCGCGCATGAATTTTCGGCCGTTTCCAATAAAAAAAAAATTTTCAACCATACTGTAAATCGTGCAAAACAGTTGCAAAATGTGCAAAAATATACCATAAGTTGCAAGGAAAACATTTAGAAATGATACCAATGTCGTAGAATGCCAGAATCAAAGGAAAAAAGACAACAATGTAAAGAAATGAATTCGAAGAGTAGATTATTCGCCATAAAATATTCTGTGCCATTTGTTCAACCTTCATGACCACGTAGATTTCATAGTGAAAGCAACTTTTTTTTTTTTGCAAAACTTTTTTTTTATTCGCACGCGCGCATCAGTTTTGGGGTTCCCAGAGGATGTCATCCATATAATCAAATCAACATGGCCTAACTAGAATACATTTCTCTTGATTAGAAAGGTTTTAGCTAAGGTTTAGAGTCACATAGCCCTTATACTGTACAGTGTCTGTCTTCTTTATCACCAGTGGGAGATCAGCTTTTCAGTGAGCTAAAACCGGATCAAGATCACTTTCCTTTCCTTCCCTACACCAAATAATTGTTCTTTCATAGAACATTTCTAGTAAGTTTAAATTGTACTGACAGGACTTCAAAGGCAACATTTTTTGCACCTTTTTTTTTTGCACAGTAACATTCACTGTAAATATATGATGTTCCCATGCCTAGTCATAACACATAATACTGATTACTAGTACCCTTGAACTGACCTGGTCGTGAGGAGGGGGAGGAGTTTCCTGTGGTGCTGTCCACTGGTCGTCCCTGTTCATCCAGCAGGCCTCGGGCACGCAGCTTGGCCTCCTGCAGAACCTTCCTCCTCTTCTCTACCTCCTTGTCCAGGTCTTCATAATTCTTCTGCAGGGACAAATGCATCAACTCATCAGTTGTCCTCTCAGCATTTTCAACGAAGATACATGCTATTGTCAACAAAAATTCCTACTTCCAACATTTTTTTCTAGACCTTACATTCAAGAGCAACCCTATCCATGAATCCAAATTGCTTCAGTGTTAACTATTTAGCTTGCTACAGATTACTCGACTTGCAAGCTGGCAGGGAGTGCACACCAAATAGGGACCTCAATGTAGAGGGCACATGAATATGCCCTATAGATAAATGGATAGTAGTAATGAAGAATGCTCTAGCTACCTTGTCTCTGGCATATATCTTGAGTATCATGAGGCTGATCTCCTGCACTTCATCTTCTGATGCTCCGAACAGCTCGTACCAGTGGCAGGGACAGTGTGCTCTGTTAGGCAGGGGCACCTTCAGCTGACGGGCTGCCAGGAAGATACACGCACACGCAATCGTCTCCGGACTGAAACGCACAAACACGTCTGTACGCAGACTGTCGTTCATGAAGTTCCTGAAAAAGAGGACGGGTAGACTCAAATTTACTCCTCTTCAAACGAGCAAAATGGAACAAAGCTGCTTTTGGTACGTAACTACTGAGAAGTGCATAAGGTAATTTCATACTACATTCATGAACTTGGTACTCACCATGCGGTCTGCACTAGCTTCCTGTTCTTCTCACAGTCCAGCACTTGGAGGTACATCACAATCAGCTACGGAAAAAAAAAACAGAATAAAGGTTGGAGCTGTGCAATACATCTTGATCTTAGAACATAAAAAGCAAAAGGCTGGATTGAAGTCTTCAGGAATTTGGTGCAAGTGCAGTTATGTTTAGCTAAGTGTGCTTTTTCCACATCACAAGTTACATGCAGTGTTTATTGGTGATTTGGCACCAACCTTGTGAGGATGCTTGACATGTACACAGAAGCCGAGTTCCTTCAGTACCCTGCGCTCAGCCTTGATGACTTGGTTCTTGGTGTTGATGTAGTTCTGGTCCAACACAAGTGGCTGGGCTTGCCTGAAACACACAGACAGACCGCGCCATGTAACACAGCCTACCTAAACTTCACAACCCCCCTCTTACTCAATAACACAGTCCTAGTGCCAACAGGGCTCAGAAATCTTAGGCTTTCAGGTTAAGATGCCCCTTAGTAAGGATGTAAAACCTTCATTAAGGTTCTCTGGTTGATCACAGACTGGGAGAACTTAATGTGACTTGCATTACAGCACAAGCCAAAAAATAAGCAAGTAATTAGCAACTGCACAACAATCAATCACAAATGCAGTTGTCCCTGTCACTGTCTACAGGACATTCAAGACATTTTCTATTGGACAAAAATAACCGAAAACCTGACTTATGAGCCCTACTTGGCTTTGTGCCATAAAACCTTTCAGAATGACGGCATCAGCTTGTATCCTTTTGTTGCAAATTTATTTTCCAGGCATCCAATTCTTTTAGTTCAAAGAACAACCGCAATCCCAACTTTCCACAGTGGACAACAACCTTGAGATCGTTGTAAAAAAATGGCCTTTGACTGTACCATCTTTTCAAAGATAGCTTCTTTACAAAGCCACTCATTTTGTACTGACAATACTGGGAACAGAATGTGCACCTGACTACATTGGAAACAGACCAGCCATGCTGCTACCTGTTACATCTGCTGGGGTAAACCATGGCAGAATGAGGGGGTAATTTTCAACATAACGAGGTCACCTGACAGAACAGCTTGTCTCCACTTTTTGTCAGGAACTGACCAAGTACGCCATTTTAAACAAGGTTCAGATTTCAGTGGTAAAATTTGCGCAGGTGAGACTTAAAATGACAATTACCTGTACAGTCTTTCATGGTTTGCCCTGTAACAAATGCCTATTGGACCTTCATGTTGTAGGGATTTATAGTCCAGAACCAGTGGCCGAAGGACTGAAATCCAGTGGAGAAGATCCAGGTCTTTCTCTTACATGTCTGTAACACTAATGTGGAAGGCCCAATGTAACCAATGGAGGAAGCCTAAAAGCAAAAACGTCACTGACTTCCTGACTATGTCCGATTTAAAATTAGGGTCAAGATGCACCACAAATATTTTGGTTGTGCATACTTTTTAAACTGCATACTTGTTCAAACTAGCAATGACATTTCTACCTTTTTGGAGGGCAATGTCATTTCAATGACATTGAGGTTTGACATTGTGAAACCACCAAACAGAAGTCTGATGTCAACTTGAATTAGTTTATATCATCACTTCCATTTTAAAAGTGAAAGGAATAAATGGGCTGCCAGTTCTACGCACGAATATTCTTGAATAGAACTGCACTGCAAAACTATGCTGTGTCTGAAATACCAATACAAAAAGAATGTTACATTGAAGAGAGTGTGTCTGTGTATTTGTGGACAGCAGTGAGGAAGTAAAAACCAGGAGAGCTACAATACACAGACAAGGACATCTTTCTCAGCCCGGTCCCAAACATGGAAACTTGAGAAACAGCAACTAGGTGACATGGTCCTGTATAATAGAGACACTACTTTAATGTAAACCCTTTGGAAGGTAAGACATAGCAAAATTATATTTTGGAAGTCAAGTAAATGTTGTGGGACAGTTTACAAAAAATTGTACAAGATGAAGAAAAAGTCAACACTGAATAACACATTTGCCAACACTGTGGCTATTTCCTACTGATTTTGGCAAGGGGAGGTTGTTGACCATGACCATGAAACGTTAAGTCATAGCCAAAAACAGGTGGGCATTTCCATTTTCTCCAACTGCTTCCATTTAACACTGGTCCACTGGTTAACAGTTGACAAGATTTCATTCCATTTCATTCTTGCTTTCCCTTGATAACTTCTACCAAAGTTGGAGATAAATATGTGTAAGGGCACATTTGTAGAATGGTGTGACACTTCCTCTTTTCAAAGGTGTGACGCTTCCTCTTTTCAATATGTACTTAAAGAAAAAGTAGGATTGTCCTCAGGTGTGACAGAACACTAGGATATGTAGATCTGAAGTTGTTTGCTACCTGCATCAGACCCTTTCATTCATGACTTAACAGGCAAAACTTGTGTGTGGTTCCAGCAAATCAAAGGACTACAAAAATTAAACACCATAACTGGGTCAGAGTGTATAGTCTAGTGACAGAGTTCCGTATGGCAGATTGGGCTAAATAGGTTCTTAAATTTGGAAGTGTTCTGCTTATTTGCAATATACGTCATGATATATACTTCATGATGGCACAAGTCCTTTGTCCAACTTTTGCTTTCAATCATTCCTCCTGAGACAGTTACGTTTTTTTCATACTGGTAGTAGTATTTCATTTAAATCGTAATGTTTGAGTTTGTAGGACCGTGCATGGCAATAATGGAATATGGTTATTTGCAAACCAGTTAACATCAATAGTACCAGTTACATTAACTGTTAATGCTTATGTCTTAAAATTACTTTGTGTTCAAGATCTTCCCCATCATCTTTTCTTTGAGCAGGTGGTTTTAAACGCTTGTGAAAGATCACAGAACTGTTTTATGAACTTCCAAGACACAGTGTTATAAGGGTTTGTTAAGTTAGAGTCAAATTCAGAAAAACATGGCAGTACTTCACAGATATACAACAGCTACAGTCTCTCTTCTCCAAGATAGTTTGGTTTCTGTTCATTCACTTTCCCATGTTTTCCATTTCCTATACATGCACAAGCTATAGGAGCACAAATTATCGGATTTCTAAAATTGTTACAATTATCAAAATGGAACAACCAGTAATGAAAAAAAAATAAATATATAAGCGAGTACAAGCCACAACTTATTTCACTTACCTGTAACATGGGGCACTGTTCACTATTGCGTTATCATTGACAGTACATAAAGGATACAATTCTTCCTGCATGTCTTCTCTTTTGCAGTTAATTTTTCCTCTTTCTCCAACTCTTGTTGGGGCCTAAGCCTTTCGTATCTATTTCACATTTTTCATTGCTCAAACACGAGAAAGCCAGGTTTGCAAGAGTATTTGCAAACATATTTGCACACATGCAATAGAAAGCAAGTCTTAACATTTAATAACAAGCTCATTTTAAGTCCAAATCAGTATGGCTTTCTAGTGAGAGAGCACTGACACATTGGTACTGACATATTCCTTAGTTGAGCCACCTTTGTTGGAAGGGGGCATCCAGTAGTGTTTTTGGCACCACCCTGTATAGGTACAAACACAGCCTACCACATTACAGCATTAAAAATTACCACTTAAAAATTATGACAGAAACTGCTCTGTAACCTTAACACTATAGTTCGCTTTACCAACAGGCACATACTCTGTTCCCAGTATCATCATGACCACAACTGGCCAGAAAATGACCAAACACAACTATGTATGGTATTGAAAACCAGGTGAATTAGGAAAGTGAAGATGCATTGAACGAAGGGAAACTTGTGAATGCTGGGCGCCACATGATGTGGTACGAATGGTTTACGAAAGGAAAAGTGGTTGGCCGTGACAATTTGGGGCCTCCCTCCTCTTGATGGATACAAACCGTACGGTTCAGATCGGGTGATTTCACCCTCCTGGCACCGACCCTCACGGCCTTAGGCGAACCCAACAGGAGCAGGAGCCCTGGTGGTCGCTAGGCAACCGGAGCAGTCGCCCAGTAACCATGGGTGGTCGCTAGGAGCCGTACGTGGTCGCTGAAAGGTTTGGTGGCAAAGGGGAGAAAATTGCAAGTTAATAAGTGAACAAACCAGGCATGCACTCATTCTACAGCCATACAATAAACCTGACTCTTTGCGTAGGGCTTTTGAGCCTACTATCTCTTCCTAATGCACACCTCATTCTTCCACTCTCTCTTTCAAATATTGTACATCATGCAAGTTCTGCCCACTTTTGACGCAACTTTTCCTTTGGTGACACTTCGTGTTTTTTATTGTATCGAAATATTCCTGTCCACAGCTCATGCCATTTCGTACATTTTCACAACACAGGCATTCTTTTGAAAGTCAGGCTCACTTTCGCACACCACCATACATACAACTGCAACAGAGGCTGGTAACACGTAAAATGTTATGTCTCTCTTGTTTAATTACCAAAGTAACCAAACAAGGTATATATATAGACAATACCAATACCCTCCCCTGACCCCACTCACAGTGGAATTAATTTTCCATAGTATTTTGTGATAATTTTTTCCTTCAAACTTAAAGTTTTTGTGTGTGAAAAACTTGAGACCGCATGGCAGATAGTTCAGGTGTAGAGGGAAAATATTATTTCTTTTAATGTTGTGGAATTAATGTTGTGAAAGTTAATGAAAGTTTGCAGCCTAGTTTTTGTTGTTAACACTTTTGACAGGGAATAGCAAACAATTTAAAAAGCAGTTTCATCAGTGCAAAAACTGTCCTAGTAGTAGCCATCCTGTCAATGGCAACATTCTTCAGTAGCATTCATAACCAAATTTGTGTAATTTGATTTTTGTAGAGTGCACTTCCACAATGAGCAGGTCACTAAAAGCCATAGGAATGATGCTTACCTGTTGTTTCGGCGCTGGCGGATGTGGTGGAACACGTTGATTGTGTCCCGAATTCGCCGCGGCGCTTCCTCGATCTTCGAGGCTAAATACACACAAGCCATTGCTACGATCTGATGGCACAAGAGAAGGAAGATGGGGGAATTAGTGAACTGTGCTATGTTTCCTACACACAATTCCGACAGCAATGCTGATACACCCTGCTCAACTGTCAAGGAAAGAGGAATTAATGCTGCATAAAAACAAGTAGTAGCAGTGACCTGCCACACTGTAGCCGCAAACAGGTACCACATTTGTAGCCTTTTGCCCATTATAGCATCAGTCTCATCACCTATGTCTACTCAAAACTTGACTGAAACAATTGGTTGAGATGCTTACCTCCATATTGTGCTTGACCAACGACTTGGAGTAGAAAAATCGCTGAAAGAGGACCTGTCCAGTAGCCATGGCCGTCTGTAACAATAGCAGGGGACCACAAAATCACTCCATGTGGCCCTAAATGTTGGGTGAACATACAATTCAATCTTATTCTGCTTAACCATGGAATTCTTCTGTAATTTACTAAAGCTAGTAACTTACAAAAATATGTAGTTGTGTAACTGTGTGGGGTGGGAGGGGGGCATGAGTTGAATGGCAGAAAATTCAGGTACATAACTCTTCTTTGAAATACCAACTTCTCTCTAAAAGCAAACCGTTTACAGTGATATTTCACTTCGATAATGTACTAATCTAGTATGTTGAAGGTGATGTTGAAACAGCGTGTGCGTGGGCTATGCTTTCAAGATGTCGGGCTCAGCGAAACAGAAGCATGCTGGGCCATGGGACGTGCTAAATTAATGACAATGCCGTCAGACGATTTTCACGCCAACATTTTACCGCAGAAACCTCCACCATTCATTTAACTTCAACCGAAATTATACCTCCGTTAGAATCCTAAAATGTCAAAGGAGCGAATCTGGGGCAACTGTGGTCAAAAAACGTAGTAAGAGAGGCAACACGGTGCCTTTTTCTAGGAGGAAATTCGGACAACAGAAACAAAGATGGCCAACCTGTGGCAAGCGGAGGAGCACGCCAGCGGTCTGGATATACTCGCACCCCAGGATCCGTAGGTCCACTTCGGTCTCATGTTCAAGCCCGTCGTTTACAGAAGGCGTCGTATCAAGCCTATCAGACGGGAGAAGGCAGTTTTCTAGGGTGATGACCACCCCAGAAAATTCCTTATCCCCGATCTTGAAAGGACTATTCGCCATTTTGAGAACGTAGGGCGGACGATCGGGCGACTCGCTTCAATCCTAGATGATATCATGTAGCGAAACCAAGTAGTCCGTTATGCAATTACAATTCATACGGTATTGATGATAAAAATTTTGTCAAAATAAAAAGTCTGAGATCTAAATAGGTATTATCTGTAGTCATTTGATAATATTAGTGGCCTTTTGGAATTGTTGATGCAAAAGATTTTGACGCGGAGGGATTTATATCTAGAAAATCGGCTTTCGGCCGTGAAACCGACCATGCCTTGATCACGTGAACACTATCCCTGGAAACGTGACGTCATACGGCGGGAAACCGGACGACATCCAAGAACCAGGCACACGCATATGAGATCATATGATAGTAAATTCATAATGTATTACAATACATATTAAAATTTGGGACAAAGATGAATTTAAGGTCATTTTGAAACCTCACTGTTCTTTTATGATCTTTGATGAAAATCCTATAATGATATTTGGCTATGGCAATAGAGGCTCTATTTTATTGATAACGTTAAAGGATCATAAAGATTGTTGCTATGGCTGAGGCTGATAAATACTAGTATCACAACAATTACACATTCTCTATTTACTTGCCCTTCCTAAGATTCCAAATCAGACAAGAACGGCCATCAATGATTATTGAACAACCAAGGTGTATCTATAAACCTCCTTGCAACAACTGGCACAACTGTAACATAAGCCAATACTTCAGTTTAATACCACTGATATCATTTTGTGCAAATGAAGAAGAGTAAAGAGAGAGATTATAATAAAACTACACGCATAGCTTTTTCTGTGAAATGCTTTTATTACCACATAATTGTATTAATAATTTCTCTGATTTCCCTTCACATCAAAGGGTACTTAGTATTCATTTTTGAATACCAACAGTAGAATTTATGACAAAGGGCACACTGTGACTGTAATGTTACAGAGAGACTCTCCAAGCGCTGCCCAGAATATCTATTAAAGTGAACTAATCATAAGTAAAAAGACTCAACTGTGATTTGGCAGCAAAGATAATATCTGACCACAAGATAATTGGCAATTACATGTACATACTATGTGACTTGGGCATGTGGTGTCAGCAATTATTCAAAAGTCACATCACAAGTCATAAGGTCAGGATCATTGTGGGCATTGAACAGTTTTATTAGTTGACTGCAGAGCAGCAAAATCACCCAATTATCTTAAATCTCATCCCAAGATACAAAATTGGAAATTATCCAACCACCACGTATGATATTCATTGTGTAAATTAATAAGGCAGCATATATGATACAATTTTTACAGTGCCATGGATGATGAGAACTAGCTTTTTCTCAACATTGACTTCTTTCTATCAAAGGCTGAATCTGTGTTACTCCAGAGAGTTAATTCAATGACTTACATTTAATGCACATATGTACTTGAATGTACATACTAGTAATGTACAGCACTACACAGGCCATTGTGTACATGACATTGTGTATACACAGTAAAATTTGATAACATGAAACATATAATGATGAGAGTTCGAACAGATGCTGAAGACAGTACTGTATATTAGAAGCACTGTCTCATCAGCTATTCATCCAGGTGCTTGAAGACCCTTCTTGCTTTTTCCTTCTTGTTCTTGTTGAAATGTTTTTTCCATGGCTTTCCAGAAAGAGACTGCTGATTGGTTGACTGGTTGCTTGCCTGGGCGACCTGAACACCTTTTGTGATTGCACGCACATTGTGCTGAAAAGAGAAATAAGAAGGTTGTGTTTAGGCACTACTCTCATCTAACGTTACATGTTTAAAGGAAAATACCATAAATACATTATATCCAGGCATACGTATCATAAATCAGTAACAATGTAGAGTCAACTAGTCATAATTGTAATCAAGCACATGTATTATACCTTGCTAAAGAACTCCTTGTCCACTTTGCTCATTGATGCCGGCTGATGACCTTTGGTCCTCTGTAAATCAAATATCAGTGATGTCAGAACAACATTCAACTTTAAGTTTCATACGCAATGTACACGGTCTAAGGATGTTTCTGGACATTGTTGTCAGAATGTCTCCAATGACAAATTTGGTGGTCAATGGTAAAACCTAGAACATCATCTGGAAGCAAAAGTACTGGAGGAAAAGACTGAAAATTGTCTCCTTACCTCCTTTGTGTTGTGTTTGTGTCCATCCATGCTTGTTGTCCCTGTTGGCTGGTTATTCCAGCTCTGAAACTCCTCAGGGTCAACTCCAGGGGGAGGGTGGCAGTACAGGAGTTTTCCCTGGAAACAAAGACATGTACAATTATGTAAACCCCATGTATTAAAAAGACACTTCTTAAACATGGGAAAGAAAGCGGTGCACTTCTTATATCTATCAAAAATATGAGACTGTATGTTTCTCACTGGTGCTCAATAACACAGTGGCACTGAATGGATGATAGTCATCTTTAGTATGAGTTTAAAATGTCCAATTTCAGTAAAAAATGAGGAAAAAAATGCATGGTAAGCTACTAGCATGATGACTTACATTAACATAGTCCTTGAGTATGTAGCGGGCAGACCGGGGTGTGTCAGGCTGTCCATGGGCAGTCATAAAACCTCTCATGGCTGCAAACAAACAACACAACAACCTTTTACTACACTGTACACATACACATGGATGGGACTAATAAACATTTTTCCATTAAGTTGGTGGGGATTTCAACTGGTTATATTTGAAAATAGGGTTCCCAATGTGTTATGTTGATGTTTATAATAATATTACATTTTTTTGCATCTTGAACATTATGAGACTGAAATTGGAATTGTACGCTAATGCTTTTACTTCAAAGAAAGATTCAGAAAGACATCATACCTCCATAAGCATTAAGAAGTTCGTTAGCTGTAGGTAGTCTGTCTGGGTCCTCCCCCTCCCCTGGTGCAGGCAGGTTGACTCCGTACGTACGCTCCAACACATGGCGGGGAATGTGACGGCACACTTTCAGGGGAGTCAAGGGGGTTTTGTGTTCAAAGGTTTATGGTATTTCAATCTTAATTAAAATATCCTACAGACACATATCATAGGAGGATGGAGACAGCATATCTGGAAAGAAATACTCTCCAAGCAGAGGTTTGGGTTTTGGGGATATTTTTAGCGTGTTTTTTAGGCTTTTTTTTATCGGGGTTTCTCTTTTGCACTGAATTTTTTTTCCCACACTCTTTTGCACTGAATTTTTTTCCCACACTCTTTTGCACTGAATTTTTTTCCCACGGTTTGGTGGGAAAAAAAATTCAGTGCAAAAGAGAAACCCCGATAAAAAAAGCCTACAAACACGCTAAAAATACCCCCAAAATCCAAACCTCTGCTTGGAGAGTAGAAAGAAATAGGAACAATTATATGTCTTCCAAACATTTATTGGAAATGTGAGTAATGTTCTCTACCCAAACTAGAACAGGGCTACAAAATTTATGGTCTTCCTTATCAGAGCTGCAAACATCCAATCACAAACTGCCATGTTAACAAGATTATCTTGATGTACACAGGTGCTGTTCAGTAAAAAGAAACTTAAGCTGATAAGGATATGAGGCTGGTAGGAGGCAGGTGGTCTCGCATCTGGTCGATGGGCAGTATTCCGCTCACCACCATCTCTGCCTTGGTGGACACGAAAGTGGGCATGACCAGACCTGGGCAGTCACACAGCAGCAGGGTCTCATCCACGTACAGGGTCTGAGGTTAGGAACACAGGTCAGAGACCCATACATAAGGTTAGGAACACAGGTTAGAGACCCATAAATGTTAGAGTTTGTATCATGCATGTATCTTATATAATAAAAATATACCTGAGAATACAAAGAATATGAATAACACAAGGTAGGATCTTCATTAATAATTTGTCTGATTCTGACTGACCTGGAAGTGTTTGGTTCTCCCTGGTGTGGCAGACACAGGAACCTTCTTACACTTCAGCAGGGCATTGATGGTGGAGCTCTTACCAACATTGGGGTACCCAACCTGTAGAACAACAGTAAAAATGTACCAATGTCAATAATCTGAACCATAACTGTGCACAAGACAACAAGGGCCCAAGAAGAACTGTGCACATTGACAAGTATCTAAACCCCTTTTATGAAAAATGAATGTCAGTTTCCTGAAGCTGTATAGTATATACTACTATATCAATAATACCAGTAAGCATAAAACTCATTCAATAAAATCCAGTAAACTCACCAATCCCACAGTAGTAACCCCTTCTTCGTGAGTCTCCTGTGGACTCAGATCCTTGAACAGCTGTAACAGCTCCTCTCCCGTCAGCAGAACACTGCTGTTCTGTACTGTGTGTTCAACAGTTCTGTTGCTACTCTGCTGTTCACTTGATGCTGTAGCTCTGTGAACTGATGAGTCCATACCTTCTGTCTCCTGTGCTATCTGATCTTCACTTTGTGTTGCCTCTATGTTACCATCACTATGTTGTGCTACAGAGCAGTCAGGCATTGCATTATGGTCTGCTGTAGAATCTGTTGCTTGCCTATCCTCATCCTCATCTTGTTGCCTGGCAACCTCCTCTTCTCTGCTGTCTCTGATTGGCTGAGGGTCATTTGAAGCAGTCTGATCTACTCCTACAACAACTGGACTCTCAGTGTCCATAACTTGCACATCTTGAAGTTCCTGTACAAGTTCTGTTTCACTTGGTGAAGTCCTGCTTTGATCCTCTGATTCCTGATGTCTCTCAGAAGATGCCAAGTCTTCTTCCTGAGGTTCCTCCACTCCTTCCTCCTCCATATTGTCTTCCTCTGGCTCTTCTTCTGGTTCTTTTGGCTCTTCCATGACATCTTCTAAATCCTGAAACATCAGAAGATAACATACCAAAATGATTGTCTACCAAGAAGAAGACATACATGTATGATATTTTTAATTACTTTTCAATTCAAGTACATGTTGTACTTCTGTACCATGATACAGGTCTCTCTTAAGTCCATTTACCTTGAGTTAGAAATTGGGCAAGAGCGTTTCAAGAAAACTTTCCAATTTGTTAATCCTCTATATGTCTATAATCATTAATCTCACCATTCACTGGGTTGAAGTACCGGTAATATTTTAAAGATCACAAGATCTAGAATTGTTTTGAAAACTTTTAAATCTGTGCATCTTCCAGATTTCTATCATTTTTTGTGTTAGCTAGGTTGAATGAAGTAATCTTGTTTACTAGACTCAAGATCAGTGTCTGACCTTTGCCCCTTGTCTGTCTGTCTCCTCCATGGCTGACCAGAAGGCGACCTTGACCCCTCTGCTGCCGAAGTAATCAGACCAGGCCTGGCGCTGTGCTTCTGTCAGCAGGTCAGCCTTGTTCACTAACACCATGTTCATCTTGTCTTCATCTATCTCCTTCACATATTTCTCCTGGAGGATTTTAAACATACAACATTATTACAACCTTTATCCTACTAATGAATTAGTTGAAAACTACTGCAAGTTTTGAGCTGCATAGTTAACCATGGAATCTAAATATTTTACTCTGTATACTGGTAGTGGACAATTATTATCATCGAATGTATTACTAAATGTGATAACCCTACATCTTTGATTGTAGACATAAAGAAATAATCCTTACCAGATCCTGACACCTGAACAGCAGTGGGTTCCTGCCATCCACAATCTGAACAATGATGTCACTAGGAAGAACACAAGAGAAGCTTTAGAAGTTGAGATAACAGTTTTCTCTACTTGTATGAAAAGTATAGCCTAGAATCTAGCAGATTTATGTCTCTTTCTGTTCTCTTTGTCAGTACTGTCTTTGGCTGTCTTGACTGTACAGTAGAAGTAATTTTACAGAAGAACATGATGTCATGATACTGTAGTTTCTACAGCTGTTTTTTCATCAAAGAACAGTGAACTACCTTCTCTCGATGACCCTCCATAGCTGTCTCCAAAACTCAAGGTTCTTCTCAAATGGAGTTAGGATGATGTGCTCCTTTTCTTGCAGCCTGGGGGAAAAAGATATTCATTGCACATTGACTATTCATATCTATAATCTATATGCAAACACATATTTTCAATTTATGTGACCCGTCACCCATGTAAAATTAAAAATGTTTTTTTCAGTTTTATATATGGCTAAAGAGATGTACAAAGCATCTATCACCAACGAATACAAGTACTAGCACTAATAGACTGTTATCAAACAATGGACCCCTTCACTGTTGTTACTACCGGTAGTATCAGTACCCATGATCCCACCTGGCCAGCTGTCTCCTCCACTCCAGGAAACTGTCTCTCTCCATCCTCTGTAGCTCATCAGCTGATGTTGTCTCATCCCAACCAGGTCTAAACAACAGGAAGACAGGAGGATGTTACAAACATGTCATATCAATACTATCCATGATAATTGATATGTGTTGTTTCTACCCTTACTGTCCAAAATATTTTTAGCATGGCCCATGTTAGAAACTTCTAGTAGTCACACTCTTATAAAAGATCCCATTCCACTCTGTGCAGAGCATAGGGGTGGTGCCCATCTCCATTTCTGTAGCCCTTGGTTCACGCAGTTGTGCAAGCAATACAGCAAGGGGGCTAGCCTGCTGGTAGCTTTGTGTGTTTGACCTTCCTATCTTCCTCATAGATGCAGAGTGCTAAGCAGAGAAAGCAGTTGAAAGTCTTTGATATGACCCAGTCGGGGTTTGAACTCACTACCTCCTGGTTACAAACAGCTTCTTTTTTTATATATCTCGAATAAACACTTGAAATACATGTATTGACCTTCTGGGGATGCTGATGTACTGTCTGTTGTCCTCCTGTGCTTTCTGTACCTCCTTCTCCTCTTCTTCAGTCAGCAGACCCACATTAACATCAGGGTTCACAAACTTGATGTTCAGTTTCTCTGGTGAAGAAGGGAAGACATGTATAAAGTGTATGACTCTACTGCATCTGTTTTGGGACAATGCTCACATGCAGGGCTTGGCTTGGTTTTCTTTTAATGCCCATGATCATGATAATGATCATTCTGGCTTTCTCATCTTTACCTGAGCAAAGTGAGAAAAGTGATGTAAAGTGCCTTTCCCAAGAGCACAAGGTTGGTGACTTGGTGGAATTTGAACCTGGGACCTCTTGGTTCTGAGCCGAATGTTCGCCCGTTACACCACACAGCGTATCAGTTGAAAAGCATAACATGACAAGAGGTATATTACATTTTCCTCTAGAAGTACTTTAGTACGTATAATCATTTCAGTTCAGCTAACCTGCTTCAAACTCCGTCCCTGCTAGTTCGGCGGTTGCGAGGAAGTCATCCAGCGAACTCTGCTCTGTCACAGACTGTAGGTTCAGCCTGCCCCAGTCATACCCATCAGACAACTCACTGGTGTGCAACTGGACAGTAGAAAAATCATGTATGATAATCAAGTCTAAAAGGTTTTCATCTTTGAAAAAAAATTATGTTAGATGAAGTTATGCTATGTATGAGGCTATGTGCTGTATGCTAACAACAACAACAGACAATGATAATTTTCAATACATGTTTTTTCTAATACATACTAATACATAGCAAATTATATGAGTGTAATCATACACATGATACAGTAAATGTGTCTCGAATGCAAAAGGTCATCTAAATATAAGTTGAACATACAGTCTCCGATGACCACAAGTTATTCTCCAAGCAGATCCTACGGTGGCAAGGTGATATCCAACATGACCAGACTAGTGTCTATATTTGCCACATGGTGCTTGGTGGCTAAATGGCCAGTTTGATACTACTAGTACCTTGCCACCATAGGATCTGCTTGGAGATCATGAGTAGGCACAAGTTGAGTTTTGGGAAGACTCACGTAAGACTCTCCGTGCCGACTACTGCCACCGCCACGGCTTCCGAACCGGTCCCGTATGATACTCCGACCAAGCCCGGTGTTTCCCTTACGCTTGCCCATTCTCAGACCTGCCTAAAATCGGACAATATCGCAGAATTCACGTGTCGGTATTGCAAAACTGACAAAGATGATTGTGTTAACCTTTCACCTCTCTAAAACATCCAAACAACATACGAAGACTAGAATTGATATCTCCCATTTTCAAGACCAAAATACGATCAACAACCACAATTTTCAAATACTATAAATTTTTTACTGACGTTTGTTGGACTAGATGATGAAATTTATGACTTATTACTGGATAAAGGATATGATTATTTTGTGTTTCGATGCGCTAACTAAGAGATGACCGTGTTGACCCCATCCCACCACTCTTTGCGAAAACGCACATGGGCAAGATGGCCGCCTCCATGAAAAAAAGGTACCGTGGCACAGATTTTCTTCAATTACTCAAGAAATATACATACTTAATGTCTATATCTTTCGTAGTTTAGTTCCTGTTTACATGTATACCCATTATAAAACTTAAGTTGGTTATTTGTAAGCGTGTACGCCGTACGATCTGTTGTTTATTTGCTGCTGGGGAGGGGGGCATGTTTGAACGTCGTTAGTAGTACTACATGTGTGCATGCTAAAAGTGCACCTTCCTAAATAAATTATTGTCATAATTTTGTGCGCAGTACTATAAACTTTCATAACTACTTTTATGTCAGAGTAATTCACTAGTTCTGTACCTGTCCACAGGAAACTCTCAGACCTGAGTGTAGATGACTTCATGGCCCATGGCTTTGATGATGAGGACTCCGACTCAGAAGAAGAGGTTGGCTCCAAAGAAGAGGGAACAAAAAAGGGCAAGAAGAAGCAGAAAAAGGCTGAACGGTTTGTACCATCAATAGAGAAAAAATTAACACAAATACCATTCCTGGATAGAAAAAAAAACACATCTATGAGTAGAGTACTTAGAATCTTTGGCCATGTAAGAATATAATTATTATAATGCTCAATGATGCTTGATAAGCATACTATGTAATACTAGTAGTTAGCACACAACCTATGCACATGGGGTACTGACAAACACAAAATTTGTCAAATTGCGCCAAATTTTGTCTTTACCTTAGGACCCAGGTCGTGAAAAAAGTGGACAAAAAGCCAACCCCAAAGGCTGGTGCACCTGATGTGAAGAAGAAAGGTAAAGAGACGCCCAAGCACAAATTGCAAATGTCCAGGCTACAAGAAGTGGACCCAGAATTCTACCAGTTTCTACAGAAGGAGGACAAGGACTTACTGGAGTTCAATGAATCTGATGATTCAGCAGAAATTGATGATGACGATGATGATGATGTTGATGATGATGAAGATGATGAAGAGATTGCAGATGACAGTGAGGAAGACAGCCTTGATGAAGACGAGAGTGAAAGTGAAGATGCTGATGAGGATGAGGAAGAAATAGATCTGGAGGAGTCAGACTCAGATGAAGAAGAACTACATAAACCAGAAGGGAAGCTTGAGGTGTGCTCCTATCTCTTGCCAAAACATTTCCAACACAACTTTTCAAACATTGTTCAAACTTAATCTTTATCACAGTGCACATCTAATAGTAATAGGTACTGTTTCCTTTGACTATCAATCAGAAACAATCTACATAACGTTATGTTGTTTAAATGATGTTTAAAGTTAATACTTTTGATCTAACACAAAAAAGTTCTCTCACCTAGAGCTTTTGACTAGTCACTCTGGTCTTCCTCAGTAGACTGACCCAGTGAGGCTTGTCACATGGCTTCTTTGAAGTGTGACGTCAACACTGGGCAAAAAATTTCTGGTAGACGATGTCAGCCCCTGTTGCTGTTGAGTGAAGGGTGATGGGCCCTAATGTAAATAGCATCTTTCACCCCTCTCAGGAAATAGTCTTGTTCGTTGTTTAAATGATGTTTGTTACCTAGGTGATGAGTGATGAAGATGAGGAGGAGGATCAAACCAGGAGACACAAGGGAAAACTGGTCACCATGGCCATGGTGAAAAAGTGGAGAGAAGCTCTACAGGTAACATGATTGTCATTCTCTCAAATTAGCTGTAAGAAGTTTTCAACAATAAATGACACACATAGAAATCTCTCTCTCTTGAAATTACATTAGTTTAAGTACAATAAACTGGATATTGAGTGTTTGAGTGAATGATTCTGTTTTTCTGAGTTTTGAAGTTGATGAGACTTGAAAAGAAAGTTTCCAGTTTTAGAATCAAACAAGCACTCTATGTATAAAATTGATACCAATAGACAAACATACATGTACATGTATATCATGCATGTTTACCTCCAGGCCCAGGCCTCCCTACCCGTCCTCCATGAGGTGATCAGGGCGTTTAAAGCAGCCGTACAGCAGACCAGCAGTGAGGAAGGAGAGGAAGATACCAAGTACAGGGTGGAGGGGAGTCAGGGTAAGGGGATATAGGAAAATTGTATCCATACCCATATATGTACATGGTCACTTTGTCGACTAATTTCACTACCTGGTCCATGACAGATATTGCAATTATTAACATCTGTCTCATGCATATCTTACAGTGTTCAATGCTGTGGTAGGTGTCTGTATAAAAGATGTGGCCCCAGCATTGCTTCATCTTTTTGGAGTGAAAGCCTGGTCCAAAGGAAAGAAGTAAGTAGCACAGTGTCTTCAAAGCTACATATCACTATTTTGATTTTGCATACTAATGCATGAACTATAGTAATAGCTGTCTGTGGAAGATGCATACCAATTAATTTAAACAAATCAATGAACAAGTGCCTTAATGTAAAAGTTTGCATTGGTTAAAATGTTTATGTACATGTACAGTGCAGTGTTGTTGTGTAATATATGTGTATGGTTGTCCCTAGGACAGTGATGCCTTCCTCTCACAAGAAGTGGAACAAAATGAAGCTGGACATAAAGACGTATCTGTCTGATGTCATCCAGGTGAGGTCTGAGTTTCTTCTCTTTCTTGACCCCACTGACACTCTGTAATACTGGTATCTGTTGACCACACCTGGCTGTTATAACCTAGTGCTGAGTATTTTGCTGGGTTTGTCTTTGAGGCTAAGGCTGTCAGTAGTTACAGTTTCGTCTATAGCTACATCATGTACATTGTACATGTACTAGTATTTCTTGTCTGTAGTTTTAGAGTATTGTAGAAAATTTCATTAAACATGCATCCTATTAACAGGTAGAAATTTCACACTAGCATGGCATGCCCATGTTGAAATCATAAAGGGCAAAATAGTATACAAACATACTTTTGCAGGTTGTTTGGTTTTTATCCCGAGATGTAACACACCAATGTTTTCCCTGCAGCTGAGCCAGGTGCTATCAGAGGCCAGTGTTGTCAGCACCCTCCTGAGACATGTGTTACAGCTGGTACACTACTACATCTGCTTCCCCAAACTCTGCAGGGTCCTGCTCAAGGTACCATGTGCAACATTATATATTGACAGTTGTTACAGTGCGAAATTATTATTAATTACTTTTTTTTTTACATCTGGACTGCAAGCATGTCAAATACTAGTAGTGATCATGAGTGTGATCCCGATACAAAGAACAGTGTTACCAGTACAGTTCACCCAATGATTTTAGCTTCTTTTTGAGAGCATTTGGTAAACACGGAGGCATTGTACAGCTAGCTACACGTACATGACTTTTTTGTACATGATTAAGAAACATAAATGATAAAATTGCACTATCACTATGAAATTGTGTAAAATTCTGTTTTATACTGTTCTTTTATTGAAAATTTAATTCTGTCTTTTACTGTAATTAAAGGAATCTTTTGTTATAATATGAGAGACAAATCATGTAATTTTATGTATTGTCTGCAATACATGTACAAAACATGTATGTTTCTTTCTTGACATTTTCCATCTGTCCCCCCACCCAAGCGCCTGATCAGTCTGTGGAGTGAGGGTGAGGAGAGTGTACAAGTCATCGCCTTCTTCTGTGTGTACAGGATCACCAAACTCACTCAGGCCAAGTTTCTGGAGTGGATCCTCAAGGTATGGAAACATTTCATTCCTAAAGACTAAAATAAAATAAAGGGGACAATGGTACAGAAACATTTCATTACTAAAAACTAAAGTAAAATGAAGGGGACAAAGGTACAGAAACATTTCATTCCCAATGACTAAAGTAAAATGAATGGGACAAAGGTACAGAAACATTTCATTCCTAAAGCCTAAAGTAAAATGAAGGGGACAAAGGTACAAATTTTCATTCCTAAAAACTAAAGTAAAATGGAGGGGATAAGGTTAAAATTACATCTTTCTTGAAAATGTTGCATCTGACATAAAGAATTGTTTGTGACATTGTTTAGTTTTTTTCTCTCCTTATTGCTATGCACAGTTTAATGTCAATATCTCTAATAGACTAGTACTGTACAGCTACTTTGCACAATGTATATGCAAATACATGTAGATTTAATTTATAAACATTACCTGGACAGCCCTGGTCAAAGCTGAAAGGCCATAGGAACTTTTGAATTTCTATGTAATAATGCGTATTACTATTAGCTAAAGCAAGGGCATTGAAACTTCTTTGAATGTATTATGATTGGCATAATCTAACCATATTCTGTCCCTTGTTTCTAGCAAATGTACCTGGCGTATGTGAAGAACACCAAGTTCACCTCTCCCAACAGTCTGCCGGGTATTAACTTCATGCAGAGGTCACTCACGGAGCTGTTTGCCCTTGACCTTCACACCACGTACCAACATGGCTTCATCTACATCCGCCAGCTGGCCATCCACCTCAGGAATGCCATCATGATGAAGAAAAAGGTACTGTCACTTCCAGCTTGTGATATCTAAGTACCTTACAGGTCTACATGTACTGCTATGTACCTAAACCCAAATTTAGTTTCAGGTCCGGATTCAAGTCCAGAGGTTTAGGTTTAGTTCTGGACTTGTAAGTCCTGACCTAAACCCACAGCATATACAAAATTGCATGTTGGCAACCTTGCAATGTTGTCTGGGCAAAACTGTGGCCACATGACATGGAGGCCGACACTTGACAATGCCCAATGGCATTTGTTTTCTTCATTTTGCAGCACAGAGTCTGCAATCTATGGAAGGTTTTAGTTGGTTTGGAAAGAAAAGGGGTATGTGACATGTTTTTTTTTTAATAAGTCCAGAATCGGTTCTTGACTTTTAGATTTTTTTGGACTTGAGCCTAAACATTTTTACAAGTCCAGAACCAGTCCAGTGAACCAGTACACAGCACTATCTAAGGTATAGCCAAAGGAAACGTTTGTGAGGTTTGTTACATTTTTTGTAGTACTGGAGAAAAATTAAATGTCCTGTAAGTTACACTTCAGCAATGTTACCAAGCAGAAGCTGCTTTGTGTGTTTTTATTACACCACACCACACCATCAGGCTAAAAACAACATGAAACAAAATTCCAGACAGTTGCGTCCAATAATGAGCCTTGTGTATTATTTCAAATATGTCAAAGGAGTCAGTAATATGTAGCATAAAGAGCAAACTATTATAACGTGAAGCACTGTTGTGGATATCAGTGTTAATTTTAGGTTAACTTTTAATTTGCCTATGGCAATATTTCATAAAATAATGAGTAAAACGGTCTATTGACACTACTTTTAATTTGACATCAACAATGACAACAGGCCAATTTAAGTATTTCCTGAACAAAAGATCAAACAAACAAGCCATGGAAAAAATGGCTAAAGACTATATTTCTTATATATTGAAGGAAAAAATACAGGCAGGATAAATCAACCATGTCTTTTTTGTGCGTCTTGTTTTAAAATGACGGCTTTGCCTTGCCACGCGACTTCCTTGGTATACAAATGACACAGTGACTAAATGTATTTTGTATTAATATTCAATTCAACAGCAAATACGTACTAGTTCTTCGTAGAAGTCATGTCATGGTTATACAATACAGGCCATCATATTATGGTATTTTCATTTAAGAGATTTCTGGCTGGGGAGCAAGTGCTCAGGAAACAGTATGAACTTCAAGGAAGCTGAAAAGGGGGTAGGCGTGAGTTTTTGAGCTCCAAGCCCTGTCTGCTTAACCTGGATGTAAGGAAGATCTGTACAATACGGACACGGACATTATCAGCACATGATCGAAGAGGCTTCATGCATTCTTCATGTTTTCTTGACTCAGTAGGTGAGTGTCTGAGACCTAACTGAAGACTTGACTTGGCCGTCATTATACATGTATGTTGTGACTGAGATGGCGAACTCCAGTCTGCTTTGTTTGGTCCTGTTCTTGACATGGAGCGGAACAGGCCACACAGCCTCCTACCCCAACCTGGAATGTTGTTGTTCGACTAAGAGGCGCACGTTCGAGGGGAACATTATGGACAGTACTACATGGCTCACTTGCTTCAAAGCCTTTTACTCCCACTCCATTCCAAAATCGTTGCCACCCAGTCTGAAAGTATTCGACATACAGCATCAGAATATCCCGAACATGATGCCAGGGGACTTTCCTCTTCTCCCATCTCTAAAGACACTAACCATGCGCGGGAGCCAGGTTATGACTATCCAACCAGGGTCATTTCAAACCTTATCGAATCTGTTTCAACTTTCCCTAAAAGAGAACAAGATCACCCGCCTGGAGGCCCAGACTTTCAGGGGACTGGCCAAGCTGACAGTCCTGGACTTGAGCAAAAACCGGCTACACTACATTGATGACGCGGCATTTGTTGGACTCACCAGACTAAGCAAGCTTTCTTTGAGTCGTAACTGCCTTTCCAGTATTCCACGGGGGACAGATCAGTCCATCTGGCCTCTCGAGCTGGACATGATGTGGAATCCTGTAACGTCACTCACCGCACCCGATGAGCTGAAGCACGTCTCGCGGCTGGTTTTGGCTCGAAACGGTCTCCCGTGTGACTGTACGCTGCGTGAGATGAAAAGATGGATGACTATAAACGGGCGATGGAGCATCACGTGTGGTCCTTTCCCGGAGAAGACAATCCGAGGGCTGTCCATGGACGATCTAAAGTGTGACTACAAGGTGTCTGTGTCCTCAGACTACGGGACGGTTACAGGTAACGTTTCGCTCACCTGTCAGACTGACTGCTGGGAAGGTCTGGATCTGACGTTTGCTTGGATCGCTCCAAATGGAGGCCGCCTCTTGTCGACTAGCGAGTACTCAAGAACCTTCACCGACGTGAGGGAATCGTACTGTAAAGAAACAAACGTCACCAGACGTGAAACAAAGAAAACGTGCTACTCCGTGCTCCGTATCTCCACACTCCGTCTCGGGATGGAAGGTCGGTTCAGTTGCCAGGTTACGGCCAATCATGCTAACGACGCGAGTGCATCCGTTTTGCTCACTGTCGCTGACACCGAGTTTCCAAGCGAAGGACCCCAGAACACAACACACGATGCAAGCACAAGACCCTACACGTACACGCACGCCTATAAGTTCCAAACGACAGCTACGGATGGACCAGGTTCTGGACTGTCTCTCTTACAACTTGTCCTGGTTGGGCTGTCGCCTTTCGCTGGATGCTTCGTTATCGTTGTGGTGATAGTTTCTTGTGCGAGCAAGTGTAAAGGAAGCCGTCAGCAGAACAACGCCAACAGACACAGCAATGCTGCGAGAAAACACTACGGAACCAATGAGTCGATTTCAGACACGGACTCAGCTGCCAAAGGAGTCAGATACGAAAATGACGACCAGTTTTCGGACACAGACAGTGGAAAGAAAAACGAATACGAAAACGATGACCAGTTTTCGGACACAGACAGTGGAAAGAAAAACGAATACGAAAACAATGATCAGTTTTCTGATGATGACAATGTTGTGAGCAAGCAACCGCAGCGGACAGTCCCTCACAAGTTGCCCGGTAAGAAACCAGGGAAGACACCTTCCATTGGAAACGCCGGAAGCTTAAGGACCCGACCTTGTCGCAACCAAAAGAGCCTGGATGAGAGAAAAACGACAAGGAGCAGGCGTAAGCTCAAGAGTAACGTGTTACGTGTCATTGCAGACGTCCATGCTCAAGCACAAGCAAGTGGGCACTATGACAACGACAAGAACACCACAGGAAGCAACAACACTGCAGCTGCGACATCAAGAAGACCCAAAGTCAAGAGTAACGTGTTACGTGTACTCGCTGACATCCACGCTCAAGCACAAGCGAGTGGGCACTACGACAATGATACGAACGCCGCTGGAATCAGTAACAGTAAGACAACGACATCTTCGGACAATGTGACTTCAGACGGCCAATATGACAACGAGAGACCAGCCACAGATTCAGAAACCACCAAACGAAGTGATGACGGCAGCGACTCAGACCAGGAATATATGACGCTCCCTAACCAATCTCCGGGAGAAGACACTGGGAATGGAGAAAAGGTGCAATCTGAGGGAAAACCAGATGACAGAAACATTACATCCAAGTCAGCATGCGGTGATGTGTCGTCAGACAATGACTATGTAACGTTTCCTGGGGAGGAAAATGTCGATGAGAAAACAAGAAAAAAGGACGGACGCAAGTCAGACTTAGACTCAGCTTTATCCAACGCAGAGCACGAGTGTGATCACACCTATGTGACGTTTCCTGAAGATGAAGATGATGAAAAACAGCCAAGAGGGGCAGAAAAGAAGAAGGGGCAAGTGTCAGGCTTAGACACGGCATTATCCAATGCAGAGGACAGCTCTGACCACACCTATGTCACGTTTCCTGGAGAGGAAAATGATGAAAAACTGCAACGAGAGGCAGCCAAGAAGGGAGGACATTTGTCTGACGTAGACATGGATTCGTCCAGCACGGAGGAAAATTCTGATCACACTTATGTGACATTTCCTAGCGAGGAAAATTATGAAGAACACAAACGAGAGACAGAACACCAAAACAAACAGGCGTCAGACTTAGAGGCTGTGGTAACCAACTCAGGCGACATTTCTGATCACGTTTACGTGACATTTCCTGAGACAGAAAATGAAAAGGAAGAGAAAAAACTTCAAGAAAGACACGTTTCAGGCTTAGAATCTGATTCATCCAACGAAGAGGACAGCTCTGACCACTTCTATGTAACGTTTCCTGGCCATGAGGAGGGAAATGATGAAAAACAGCAAGGACCGTCAGGAAAAATGGATGGACACATGTCAGACTTAGACACTGCTTCGTCCAACACAGAGGACAACTCGGGCCATGCCTATGTCATGTCACCTGGGGAGAAAAATGATGAAAAAACAGCAAAGAGAGGCAGGGAAGACGGTCAGACATGCGTCAGACTTACACAGCTTTATTTAACGCAGAGGTAACAAAGCATGTAAAGGTGAGGGCCGTGTTTCAGATTTTCACAAAAACCAGACGGATTACTTACCAGTCATTTGAGATGGAGGGATGCCTTGCATGACTTTGTATTATTAGCCATGTGAGAAATGTTGGACCTGCGTCACGACTTGCTTTGAACACTGTAATAACATTCTGAGTGGCAGACTACAAAAATGTAATTTCTAACCTTTATACAACGTTACATGTGATGGATATTACAACTGTAGGGTTATAGAGGACTGGTACAAGAGTATACTGATTAGTCAAACTTTGTGTTTTGTAAACTGTGATGTTAATGTACCGGTATGGATGATCTTTGAGAGCTCTTGAACATATCTAGTAATGTTAAACAATGTACAATGTAATAGTGATTAGAGTTCCACAATCTCATGCCTTAGTCAAGTGAGTATTTATGAATGATTCACATTTATTATGGAATTCATAAGATCATCACTTGTATTATATCCTTCATATTCTCCACCCAATGACAGTCTTAATATCTTAAACAAGTAAGACTATTCTACATTGTACATTCCCTCATAAATCATGCAGTTAATGTTCTGATTTGAATAATCACTCCACTTAACTTCCAAACACAACAAGTATGAAATTCCTGTCAGTCACCACTATTGCATCGGTACGTGGCAGTTACAATGAAGAGACCTGAAGTGGGAATGTCCAGACTTATCATCATCTGCTAAGAACTGAGGTGTTCAAAAACTCATATTTTCCAATAACTATCATAGAGTGGAACTTGTTGCCACCAAGGACAGTTGGGGCATCATCACAAGAAAGCTTTAAACAACTCCTGCAAATGTGCAAAGATTGGGTGTAAAATAACAGGTCACGCTGCATGCCTGCAAAGCTGGACACAGATACATGATTGTACATGGTGTGCTCTTGACATGTCCTTTCCGGTTGCTTGACCAGGAGAACTACCAGTCTGTGTACAACTGGCAGTACGTCCACTGTCTGTACCTGTGGTGCCGAGTCCTCAGCACACTTCACCCCTCAGACATCCTACAGCCTCTCATCTACCCACTGGTACAAGTCATCATAGGAACCATCAAGTAGGTCACACCAAAATGGAAATTCATACTCTCCAAAAGCACCACTAATCTTGTTACATGTATCTGTAGAAAATATGTTTTATATCAGTTTTATCAAGTAGGTCACATCAGAATGGAAATTTATACTTGCCAAAAGCATCACTTGGTATTTGTAGAAAATATGTTTTATATCAGTTTTATCAAGTAGGTCACACCAGAATTGAAATTTATACTTGCCAAAAGCATCACTTGGTATTTGTAGAAAATATGTTTTATATCAAGTTTTATCAAGTAGGTTACACCAGAATGGAAATTGATACTCGCTAAAAGCACGACTTGGTATTTGTAGAAAATATGTTTGTTTTTTATATGAAGTTTTATCAAGTAGGTCACATCAGAATGGAAATTTATACTCGCCAAAAGCAGGACTTGGTATTTGTAGAAAATGTTTTTTATATCAAGTTTTATCAAGTAGGTCACACCAGAATGGAAATTTATACTCGCCAAAAGCATAGCAGTATTTGTAGAAAATATGTTTCTTATATCAAGACAAAAATAATGCCAGCATCAGTGTCTTTCCGTCATTTGATACAATTTTGGCTGTCATGACACAAAAATTTTGCCTAATCTGTCACCTTTGATGGACAAAAATTGTTGTGTAAAGATATAGAAAGAGATGTCATTAAAGTAAGCTTAGTTTATAAAAAAAACCTGGACCTCTAAATACAGGAAACAAGATTTCAAGACACTCAACATGATTTTATGTCAAACAAAATTTAGATGACAGAAAAAAATTCAGGCTAGCTAGAATGCTGTAACAGTTTCAGATGCTAGTAAATGATTGCATTCCTAGACTTGTAACGATTGGTTCGTTCGAATTCCATGGTTGCAGACTTGTCCCTACAGCAAGGTACTACCCACTGAGGTTCCACTGTGTACGAGCCCTGACACTCCTGTCTGACAGTACCAACACCTTCATCCCTGTTCTACCATTCATACAGCAGGTAAGCCACATGGGGTACACATAGATATGTACAGTAGTCTATACATGTTGTATACCAGGCCCAAAAGTTGCAAGTCATAATGTATGTACATGGTTACATGTATCTTTACTCAGATTCAAATATACAGAAGTGTAGGTATTTAAGGTACACTGCTTTCAAAGATGAATTGGTAGGTGTACAAATTGTAGTTAAGCCTTGAAGGTTGTAGTTAAGCCTTGAAGGATAAGTTACAATTGATATTCCCATGAATTTCTAATATCATATTGTAGAAGATAACTAGAAAGGCCAATATTTGCTTTGGAGCAAATACAGCGATGGGTTCACCACATTTTACGACATGGCAGGGAAAGAATGGGAAACACAAGGGAAAACAATGATTTACATTGATATAACTATAATATGAAGTAAAATACAACTAAAACAACAGTTGGATAGCTATTCCCTACTTTATTGGTTAGGATTTTTAATTGCATAATGCAAACTGTTGATTTTCAAAATAAAAAAAAAAACGTCCATGCCCGGCATTCCAATGCTGGAGCAGGAAAGCTTGAAATACCTACCAAAACACTTGAATACAGACATACTGTCAGTATGGAAATGCTTCTGTGCAGGTGTTAATCAAGTTAAATCCCAACAGCCAATCAGCAAGAAGTATAGAGGAAAGCTGCATGCCTATTGGTTGATGCCCTGCATTCCATTCTGATGACTCATGCCCAAACGTGGTAAACAAGGCAGACTAACACAGTAATACATTTGCTATAACACAGCCAAAAAACTCAAATAAACCATTCTAAAAGCCTGTATCACAATAATTTAAAAAACGCCTAGGGGTATTTGCCCACTGTACCTCCATACCAAATTTGAGGACCTTAGGCCCTAAAATGAAGAAGCTGAATCCATTTAAAGATATGGCAGGAGGAGGAGGAGGAGGAGAAGGAGAAGGAGAAGAAACATCAGAAAAAGCAATATGGTTTCACCACACCACTTCGTGGTGTGGTGAACCCATAATGAGGTTACATGTTTCTGTTCCTACTGTAGGTGTTTGAGCAAACAGACTTCAACAAGAAGCACAGCAAGACCAGTGTGAAGCCCCTGAACTTTGCAGTCATGCTGAAACTGTCTAAAGCACAGCTGCAGGAACAAGCCTTCAGGGTACGTATGACTCTATACTAGTACATGTTTGTGTATGCACATGTATATGAAGATGTTTCAGTGAACTGATTAAAGTTTCAATTTCAGTAGGGCCAGTGCAAGTAGGCTATGATGTGCATTATATATACTGGTACAGTGTGTTGCACTGTACTGGTACATGTTAATTTATAGTTTTACATCTACATTGTACATGCACATGAATATGCAAACGTGTGTGTAAGACATATTGACAGATATGGTATCTCTCTTGATGTCTTTTTTTGACTGATTGTTACCTCCAGGACGGTGTGATAGACCAGCTGTATGAGCTGCTGCTGACTTACTTCAACACCCAGGCTCACACCGTGGGCTTTCCTGAACTGGTACTCACATCTATACTACAGGTAACACTTTATGGACACATAGAAATAGGCCATGACCACAACAAAGCCCACAAGATTAAGATTACATGACAGTTTTATGAAAGCAAAAGTAAACATACATGTATTGATAGTCATATAACGGTTTACAGTATATTGTTGCAGTCATAAATTGATAGTAAATACTGCTTTATGTTCCTATAAATGCTACTCTAACTGACAGTTACATGTATGAAACCAGTTAACTAGTAATTTGTTGTGTCAGTCCGACACACAACAAATTCCTAGTTTACTTGTGTCAAGACATGATTTATCTATGTAGTTACTGTACAATCATTTTTTGTACATCAAGTCATGTGATGAGAACTCTAAGATGAGATATTGACTTTACTGGGTTAATAAAGAGACAGAATGTATCTCGAAAGCTCTTCAGAGTAGCATTAGCAAATTTTTTTCTTGTGTGAAAAGTTTCAAAACATTTATCAAAAGTATATGTAGTATGTAGTACCAAACATTTGATATAATAACTTTAACAGACAGTACCAATACCTTTGCTATTGTTTTCTAGATGAAAGACTTCATGAAGAAGTGTAAAGTGGCCAACTACACCCGACAGATCAGACAGATCCTGGATAAGGTGCAGGAGACGTGCAAGTTCATCACAGACCGCCGAGCTTCTGTCAACTTCAGCCTCACAGACAAACAGGCCATTGTAAGACATGTCTTTCTGACTTATATTACAACATTTAGTTTAGTTTGTGTGTCATGTATCTCTTGTTTCAGTATAAGTTTTTGATAACTTGGTGAGTGATGCAATGAAATGTTCCATTTGTACTTGGAAGTTGTACGCCTAGCTTTCATTTTACCTATTACCCAAAAAGAAATGTCTAATACACATGTAGCTGGTCTGACAAAAAAAAAAAGAAAGAAATGTGCATTTTACTGTAGAATACACATACACCACACACTCACTCACACTCTCTTAAAAAATCACTTAACTGTTAAGTTTGGTGACTAGGCCAGCTGCATGTAGGCATGCAAAAATGTATTTTCATATGAGATAGATTTTCATATATTTTCTCCCTTCTCCTTGCTGCACAATCCCATAACCAATAAAGAAATGGTAGCCAAATCACTACTTGTACTTAGTACTTCAGTGTGCTTCAGCATTGTTTGTGTTGAACAGGAAAACTGGGAGCGTCAGACCAAGCAGCAGGGCACACCACTGGGCAAGTTCCACGACAACTGGAGGAAACTCAGGGACAGGGAACTCATGCATGAGATCGCTGGGAAGGAGAGGGTAAGATTCAACTTTGTTACATGGCAAATGACTGAAATGAAAATTTTCAGTAACTTTGTTACATGGCAAATGACTGGAGTGGATCAAATGTACCATTTAAAATTACCTGCACCAAATTTTACCTGCACATGTACCGGTATACTAAAAAAAAGTTTAGAAACCATTGCCATTATTTCTTTTATACATTTGTACATTATACTAAGTCTTCATAATATGTGGTAAAAGCAAATGCAGGCTATAAAAAGCTACTTACAAATTTTGTATATAAACACAGTACAATATTGCAGGTTAGGTGCCACTAGACATTAGAAATACCTGCACAGTTTCAATTTTACCTGCACTGACATGCACATACATGTCCCCACTACTTCCAGCTCAGTCTACTTTTTCACATTGAATCACTCATGGATAATTTATGATTATGCGTAAGAAGTCTTTTTAAAAATATTACACAACACTACATGTATATACATATAAAATTATATAATCTGTTCACGCACTACTTTGAAACTCCCAGTCAGAACTAACCTGACCCTGTACTGTACTCCTTCCCCAGATCTCAGACACAGATCTCCCGACCATCAAGCGCCGTCCCGTGGCTACTGACGAGGACAGACAGGAGTTCAAGGGTCTGTTTGAGTCGGACAGCGAGTCAGACCAGGAACAGCTAACCATGCTGGAGAAAAAACCAGCCGGTAGCCAGGGTGATGACACTGATGATTCTGATGATGATAGTGAAGACAATGATGATATTGAAGACATTGATGATGATAGTGATGACATTGATGAGGAAGATGATTCAGAGGTAGAAATAGAAGAATCACCAGTAATTCAAGGGAAAAGAGCCAAAGTTGTAGAAGAGAAGAAAGGGAAGAAGGATGACAGGAAGGCAGTGAGCGATGTTGTGAAAAAGAGGAGCCAAAAGTACCAGGAGCCTTCATCAGATGAGGAGGAGGGAGAGGACATAGTGGAAGACTTTGAATTTTCTTCTGATGAAGATTGAGATCATAAATCAGAGTCCTCAATGACATTAGATGTAGATGGTAATATCATATTTTGTATGATATGTACAGGTGATGCTGTAAAAGTTTTATAGTATAGTGAGATTTCTGAAAAGTACTAACGTTACACTAGTACTAGAGAATGACTTGTATCAAAACAAGATGTTTTACTGTTAGAAAGTGTATTTCTAAGAAAGAGACAACATCAAATGTCATTTCAGGTTATAAACTTTATTTTCCCAGTGGAAGATGCCGGAAAAACATGAACAGATTTTCTTGGGTTGTATTTGTTACTCTGAAGCATCGTGAAGATTATTCTTGTTATTAGTTCCCCCTTATATTCAGTGCCGGGGACTAGTGTTCTAGCGCCTCTCTCCAGTTAAGCTGGATACCACCGTAATAATTGCTCATTTTGACCACTCTTTCTACTGTTATTCTTTTACATGATATAAAAACATGTAGCAATCTGCAGTCGAGAAAAGCTTAACAAGTGTGTAATACCCAGGATATTTCCAGGTAATATAGTCAAATAATAAAATGTAACCAAAGCCAAATCCTTACGTCTTTCAGTGTAAATATTATTTCCTAATAGTTATTACCCCTCTCCCTTTACTGCCAGAGTAAGACAACAAAACTAATCTACCTAAATGTCCCATTCATATTTAACATTGGAGAATTTAGCTGCTCCATTGAGAAGCTAAATAAGAAATATAAAGTTACAAAAAAGAGAAATATGTCCTCATTGCAACACATCAACTAGAAAACATCTTACTCTTTTAAAGGATATCTCTGCCTACAATGAAGATGCTTAATATCAAGAACAGTTTTTTAATAATTTGCATTATTGAAACTGAGTGTAACCATCTAAGCTGTGCATAATTCGATAAAGGATATTTTTTTAAATGGTAATATATCATGTAAAGCTGCAAGTGACTAAATTGAGAAATGTGTGAAAACAAAATCAACACTACCTTCTGCATTTCCTATGTAAATTGAAATCCTTTTATCCAACTTTCAACATTAATAAACTCCAGTTACAGACTGGTACAGTTTTCACTTTCAGATAACTGTCAACCAACAAGTAACTTTTTCTGCCAACTGCTTGTGAGAAATAGCTGGTTAAAGGTTTGATAAACTATTTTAGTAACTATTCTGGGTAAAGCTGTTTGTTTCACTGTATCCTCTGGTACAGGTACAGGTAGGCAAGGTCTTTTGGTGGATTCTCCGAGACGGCAACCTTCTCATCATTGTAGATAACCCATCTGTAAACAGCAGAAAAACAATCTTGATTAATACCTTAATATTTGAGATTTGATTCAAATTTCCATTAGCAGTGGCGTCCGAGTGGTGTAGTGGATAGAGCGTCCGACTGTCAAGCAAGGAGACCCAGGTTCAATCCCCAGGGTTGGACCCAGACATGTCCGGACTTGCACCCAGACATTGTGCCTTGGGAAAGGCACTTAACACACATTTCCCCCTCAGTTAGAGGGTTCCTGGGCCCTACTAGGGTTTGGGTTGGCGTTGTTAGGAAGAGCATCCAGCCGTAAAAATCTTGCTTCAAAAAAAAGACTTGCACTTGGTGCAAGCACGTCTAAACCCCGGTTGGGGAAAAATGACATTAAATTCGGTTAAAAAAGAAAAAAAAAAAGTGGGCCCAAGATCCTTTCCTTCATACTACATGTATAAAATTACAAGCTTAGGCTATCAAATACAGTACTGATTTAAAAAAATTATAGATGATACTCCACTTTAGCTAACTACATTGAACTAGAGATTGTTGTTGACAGTTATTTAATGAAGATTAGATAGTAAAGATTGCTGAGCCTCACCTTCCATCCTTCAGGATATGGCAGACATAGTGGCCACACATTGTAGAGGTCCCCATGTGGCTGATAAAGGCTACAAGTTTGTACTCTACAAGAGGAAAACAAAAAACAAATTACTGCTTAGTCAAGATAGTGCATGGCTGCATTTTTCATTGTAGTATGAAATTACAACTACCACAAGGTTTACACAAGTCATATCTTGTACATGACTTGTACAAATATGACAGTGAATCTATTGCTTGTATTGATTACTTTCAGAAATCATGGGACTTAATCTCTAGGAGCAGGTCTTTGCTGCATACCTGCACCAGTGCAGGTAACATGGAAAATTACCTGCATCACTCAAAACTTAGAAGGTATGGATCATACTAAGAACTGTTCAGATACCATTGCCATTATTTCTTTTACACTTCAAGTAGTAACAGTCAATACAGCTAATGAAAATCCATGTACACCCACATACATGTACATGAATCGGTACAGGACTGGTAGACATCAGAAATACCTGCACAGCTCTAATTTTACCTGCACCAACCTCCATATGCAGGTGGTATTTCGAACCCTGAGGAGGATGTGACTTACTTCCAGTGCCGTCCTGGACCTGTGCATTTGAAGGTACGGGGAGACTTTCCTGCTCTGCTGTGTCCATGGGCATGGTGTCCAGCTCATCAGAGTGGCTGAACAACCAGTCCGCTGCTCTCTCCAAATCATTATCCTAAAATAGTATAGAACTAAACGTTAACAACAATAAAGGCAACAACTGCTCCTTTTCACTTTCCTGCATTTACTAGTATGTAGTAAGTAAAGCACAGTGGTAAATACTAGTATGGGGCAGAAGGGATGCATAGGATCCTCAGTCACACTTCCTTACTATAATTAATACCGTAAAGATGCCATACATTTTTAGAAGGATAAATATTGATAAAGAAAAACACACCTTCTTTCCCACTGTATTTAGTAGTTAAGATATACAATAGGGGGTCTTGTATTCTCCCTAAATAAGTTAAAAACTCATGAACCTCTGAGACAATATTTTTTATTACTTTATTTTGTTATGTTTTCCCTCTGTTGTACATGTACATGTAGCTTTATCCTTCTGTTGTAGCTTCATCCTCACATCAATTTTTGAGTTCTTGAAGATTTATGAAGAGTTCTCCCAAAAAAGATACATCCCTATGCTGGTTAAAAAACAGAGTGTAGAGGGCTAAAGCACAGCATAGGGGGTCTAAATCACAGCATAGGGGGTCTAAATCACAGCATAGGGGGTCTAAATCACAGCATAGTGGGTCCTCCAGTGACAACCCTGGTCAGCTTCACTTTACATGTATCCTTAGGGGAAAAAACTATTGACATTATAATTGTAAATTGTTTAGAAGACTGTCTTACTGTAGCCTTCAGCCCCCGTATAGCCTGTCCCCTGGTGAAACCCATGGCCTCCAGAATGGTGACAGCCTCCTCACTCAGGCCTGCGGAGGACTCGGCAGCCCTGGGACCTCCTGCTGCAGCGCCTTCTGGCTCCGGCCGCTGTCCTGCAGGCGCTCGCGGGATCTGCAGGGGTGCTGCAAAATCTGCACCAGGACAGAAAATTCAACATTTTAGTCATAAAACATCGTCAATATGTGGAACACTATCAATGTGTATTTGATTACTTGATTTTATTTTCTAAAAGGCAACAGAAAATCCAACCATTTCAGTCATAAAAGATCTTCAAAAAGTGATACACTATCAATATGTAATTAGGAGCCATGTGATTTTAAATAGGCAACAGAAAATTCAGAAAATTAAACCATTTCAGTCATTGAACATCTTCAAAAATGTGATGCACTATCAAATTAAATGTGCATTTGGGAACCATAATATTATGATTTTTAAAAAGCAACAAAAAATTTAACCTTTTCAGTCATTGGACAAAATGTGATGCACTATCAATGTGTCAATGTGTATTTGGGAACCATTATGATTTTTAATACTAAGGCCATGTTGATTTGATTATATGGATGACATCCACGCGCGCATGAATTTTCGGCCGTTTCAAAAAAAAAAAGTTTTCAACCATACTGTAAATCGTACAAAACAGTTGCAAAATGAGCAAAAATATACCGTAAGTTACAAAAAAACCATACCAATGTTGTAGAATGCCAAAATCAAACGAAAAAAGACGAAATTGTAAAGAAATGAACTTGAAGACTAGATTATTCGCCAAACCATATTCTGTCCCATTTGTTCAACCCTCATGACCACGTAGATAATGAAAACAACTTTTTTTTTGCAAAACTTTTTTTTTATTCGCACGCGCGCATCAATTTTGGGGTTCCCGGAGGATGTCATCCATATAATCAAATCAACATGGCCTAAATAATAGGCAAGAGAAAATTTAACCATTTCAGTCATTGAGCATCTTCAAAATGTACATGTACAATCAAACCTACCAAGGTGACCACCTCTTCAAGCTGGCCACCTGGCCATGGTGACCGCTTTTTCTCGGTCCCAAAAATTTTCCCCATTGCCACAAGCATTAAGCAACTTGTCCAAGGTGACCGCAACCGCCCTGAGTTGGGTCCACTCAATTGTAGTTTTCCAATGCTAATCTTCAGTACTTGACCAATAATATTACATGTAGAAGTACATGTAGAAACAGACCAGGATCCTCCATGTGCTGCATGATCCAGTCCATGGCAGCCTCAGCCCCACAGTTGGAGGTGTAGTACACAGCCTTCCTACAGGCTTCTGTAGGGAACCCCATCTCTGACAGCTGGATCACTGTTCCCTCATCTATCTCAGGCTCAGCTTCTACACAGGGCAGGATACATCACTTTGTTAAGCTGAATTCAGGGCAAAAATCTACAGGTAATTTCAATCTTCCACTATTCTTCTTCTACACTGCATTTCAGTGGTTAGCTCTGAGGCGGGGCATTACTGTTTTCAACAATGCTTTGTTAGTCTAATATATTCCACTATTATCCTGTACATGTATTAAGCTTCCTAAAATTCAAAGTAGATTCTTATCTCCCGAACTATTTCACAAACTCACCATGTTACGTACAGTAGTACATGTTTGTGTTGTAATATGGCAGTAAAAATGTAAGTACATGTACAAAAAAAACAGTACAATGTACCTTCAAACTACTTAACGACTACAGACTAGTAAAACTTGTGGGATATGACAGTAAAACAGGAAATATCATAATTAATGTTTGGCAATGCAAATACTAGTACCAATGAGTTTTACTGATACACACTGTCACATATGTAAAACAACTGCATAATGAATGCTACAGGAATAGGCAATTATCCTTAATTAAGAAATATTTGCTCTTCCCCCTAAACCTTACTTTGTCCTGTAGCAGCAGCAGCAGTAGCCCCAGCACCAGCTCCTGTACATGTAAATAAGCATGCAGCAAGGCAACATAAAGTACAGCAATGCCTGGTACATACATGTATGGGCATGGTGCTATCAACTTAGCTTTATTATTTAGACAAAGAAAATTGCTAGGAAACAAAAAGGAATACGGCACATTGAAGAAGCATTCTACATGTACCTTCTAAGAGTAGCATGTGAGTGTCACAATATGTTACTTACAGGTTTAAAAGAAAGTTGCAAAACACCAACAGATAATCAAAATAAGAAAGATAGTACAAAACTGCAGAGCAGCATATGGGCAGCTATTAGCCTTACAGAACGTCATACTCCCAAAAATCTACCTGCATGGCTTTGTAATTACATATAAATTATACAGTTCCAGAGCTGAAAGTGTGATTTGTTTCAATGCAAAATAACTGGTTAGTACCAGTCATACCAGCAGGCTCTTCCATCGGTGGTTCTTCCCCCTCTGGAAGCTCTTCCTCCCCCTGCTGTATCCCCTTCCCCCTCAAATGTTCCAGGTCCAGTTCATCAGGGATGCTCATGGACACATCTAGTACACAAACACACAAAATACATCAGGGCTTGAAATATGGGGTGCAATGTGCACCCTAGTGCACCTAAATTTAGAGCTGTGCACCTAAAAACTAATTTTTTTTCTGTGGGTGCACCAGTGCACTAAAATATTTTTGTAGGTTTACGTATGTAAAGATGTTAGATGCATAGTTAGTTGTACTTGTACATGTAGTAATACTAGTATGTAGCATATTCTTAATATCCAAGGGTCAAAAAAATAATAAAATCATTGTTATAGTACATTTATTTAGAAATGAAACATAATTAGTTTTTACTGACATTCTACTTACATAGTGCACCCAAAAAATTGTTTGTGCACCCAATTTTTTAGGTTGGGAGCACCAGTGCACCTATTACCCAGAATGAATTTCAAACCCTGTGTTATGAAGTGGAAAATTTGCATCATATCACTAATATCTATCTAAGGTCAGGAATTTCTCCTAACATTTAGATATATGAGGATAATATTGAAGCATAAAAATTCTAACACCTGCTAGGTACATGTATAACATGTGGGTCCTACCAACTGTGGTGTAATATCATGATAATACATGACAATGATAAATAGGACAATATTTCAGAAGGTTCTTCATCTGAAGTGATACAAACCTAACTTCTTGGGCACCCAGTCTTCACCTATTGTGAACTTCTTCAGATGCACCATTAAATATTCTGGGAAGGTAGCAAATTTTGTCGTCCTGAAAATAAACACAAGGACAAACAAAGTTAAACTACAATTATGATCAATTTTTTTGGCTGAAGGGGAATTCACAATATATCAAGAGCATCTAAAATTGTAAATCCCCACAGCAAATGCAATACATGAGGACATAACCTAAACCTACATGATTGTATAGAATTCAACAACTAACTTAGATGAAACAAGTTTGTATTCGCAGTAGCAAAGCAATGAGAGGTGTCATTTGTAACAGATTGTCTGAGAGACTAATGTAATATCATAAATGTATATATAGATACAGCAGATCAGGGTTAGAAGTTAGTCTGGTTCAGGCCTTACTTGTTGGCCACAGATCTGGCCTGTAGAGCACTACTGTAGAAGTCCTGGATAGACTCAGGCTCAGCCCAGCTGTCCAGACATGTCTGCAGGGATAGCTTAGCTCTCACCAACTCCTTAGGGTCCCTGGGAAACAACAAATTAAAAAGTTATTGTTTTAAAAACTAAACCATAACTTATTAAACCATAATAGGACAGCTATCAAAATATGACAAAGGAATGCAGATATTTATCACTAATGACAAAATATGAGCAGAGCTACTTACATTTTCTCCCCTTTGCTTTCCTTTTCTCTCTTCCTTGTTTCATACACAATTAGCTCCTCTGAAAAAGACAGAAAGAGTCATACATTACAACAAAGAATCATCTTTATTACAATGTACATTTGTACATTTATATACAAGATGAAATATTACTTGGTAAAGCCTAGGTCAGCCCTTTATCTCTTGCTACAGCACAAAGAGGAGTGCACAACATTCTAGTATGAATACCAACTGAGTGTCAACAAAACATTAACAAGACACTTCAATGCTTTATGTCTACTAATAATAGGCTGAACAGTTCAAGTCACCATTTCAACAATTTGCAAAAAAAACCCCAGTCAATTCCTACACTTGACTCCTATGAATCATAAGCCAAACGTGAATTTTACAATGACCATTTTCTGCCATGTTGTGGAATACAGCACTATATATTATATGTTTAACATGTAAGTTATAACTCATAACTTACCTCTGTTCTCTGCCAGCTCCACAGGTACAGGCAGGGACAGAAGGTAGTCTGACCGCTGCTTGTACCTAACCTTGCCAGACTGGACACACTGGATACGTTCCTCTGCCATGTACTTTAAACATACTGTCGGGTTGAATGTGCCTCTCGAATGTCTCTATGGGGCAAACCGCAGAAATCAAATGGTAAACACTGATACGTTTGTGAAGATTAGTCATCCAGGGTTATATCGATAAAACAGTGTTTCAAACTTTATCACTGGATATAAGAATTTAATGGTCAGATGTTTCAAGTGTCTGACACTCTTCATCATTTTGTCACTTACCTTTTGTTTATTTAGAAGCCTTAAGAAAATGTTGACTTTTACTTGTTTTGTTTATTTAGAACCTTTTGTTTCTTGTTCCATAAATCCTACATGTATGTAAACATGAAGAGTGTTGGACAGACACTTGAAACATCTGACAATTTTCACATCATTCTAGTGGTAAAGTTTGGAACACTATTCTCTTAGTAAACATTGATGTACGAATCAAAGCATTGTGAAAAAAAGGTTGTTGAATAACACTGCAAATATCTACAGATGTGACTGTAGATGTGGCTTACGTCGATGATATTGATGAGATGAAGGAAGAACTCCTGTGCGTCCTGTTGTCTGTTTGTAGAGAACTCTGTGTGGCCCTTCCCTATCAACGTCTTAAACATCCGGGGGGTGATGCCATTCTGAGGAGGAACAACAGACCACTGTTAGTTACTGTTACATACTTATTCATTTCAAATGTAAATTTAACAACATCTAAGACTTTTCTTCATTATAACTACTTTGGTAATGGTACACTATACATTTGAAATCACAAATTTGGTTGAAACACTGCTTGGGGTTGGAATTTTTTAAACAACACATCTTGAAGATAAATATTATTCTTGTTCTGGGATTGAAAATTAGCATCAGCACAATCAGTTGGACTGAAGAAACTTATTGCAGCACCTGGACTTTTTTGGCAGGTGGTGCAGCTGCAGCTGCGGCCATCTCCTCTTCAGGTGGGTTGGAGAAGGTACCTGACAACAGACCGTACCCAACCTTTGCCCTGAAACACAAATATGCTGGTTATATCCTGGACTAATGTTACTGTTTGAAAACCCTGGAGCAGTAATCATATGCTTTAGTCAGCAATGCTTGTCCCATTACACTAACGGCATGCTGCATATCTATATTCAATAATTGAAAGTAGTCACACTTACACAACTTGTGGTTCAATATTTTCAAAGAGAAGGCATTTGACAATCATTCATTCATTTACTCACATTTGGGTGGTAAAGTCACTGGGGGCCTCTTCAGGTGCTCTGTTTAAGATTAAATCATATTCTTCAAAATATCTGAAAAAAAAATGGATACAAAACCGTCTATAAAAAGATTGCTACAAAAAGCACAGTATACAGTAACAAACAAAGTACATGTATTTCTGTACATACACACAATGATTGACTAGTACATGTAACACAGTTGCTTTACATACAGTTGGATTTCTTTCAACAATACATACTACGTAAAACTAAACTTTATGGACTTTAAGGTTGAATTTTTCTTTGTCTTGTGCTTTTCTCTTGATGGTTAAGATCTTCTAGCATTAAATTTCTGTATGGATTAATGTTGTTAGTTAATAAAAAAAATCATCATATTGTCCTGACCTTTTGCGGAAGTCAGGTAGTGTGAAGATGACCTGCATGACAGAGTTGAGATAACAGCTGTTGCCCATGTTCTTCATCCCGGTGTACCCCGGCCCGTACATGGGCTTCAGCTGCTTGTCTGACTCCTGGATAGTCGCCCACTCTCCCACCCTCTGGTTAATGTCAATTTCCAGCTCTGTCATCGTCTTGTCAGTCTGGGTTGTGGTGTGGTTGTTGTTTGGGGAAATAAGAGACAAAATACACACATATATTTGTAAGGGGGATGGAAGACATTCAGCTTTGAGATACCATAGTTATATCAAACGTAAGATGGAAAGAATCTGTGAGGATATGCTATATACATTGTTTGGGGAAAGCGTAGACCAAATATAATTTGGACAACACTCTGCGGTGTTTTTACTGAATATACATACAACCATAAGATCCGAAGAGGCTGTGAAGATACACAAAACACAGATGCACAAACAACACTACTGTATCACAATACAAATTGAAGTTATTGAAAGCAAACACTTTCATGATACTGAACCCACACTGTATAACAGGATTCTGCTTATTGGGTTATACTACATACATGTATAATGCCAAAAGAAACAGGAATGTTCGTCAAATGTCTTGAAATCAGTGTGTGTGCAGACTATAGAAACAGAAGACCTCCAGAGACTACCCACCTTCTCCATACTCATCATGTTGATGCCAAAGTGGGCCAAGTGTCTGGCCAGGTGAGGATCTTCCACCATCTCATCCTCATCATAGGAGTAAACATCTGTGAGGAAAAACACAAAGGTTAGGCATGAGCGCCACCTATCAGCTTTCATTGGAACAACATGACAATCTAAATGAAAGTTCATCTGTGACAGCAATTGACATTATGAAGGTTTCAGATGCCATAGCTGCACACAAAGAAAATAGAGTATCAAAAAGCTATGGGTCACAGCACTATAGCCTCATCAACCTAAAATGGGATAGGGAATTTCCCTACCAGCCTTAGTAACACTTGCTTTGCCTTGTCTATTGAGTCAGTTAGTCAAGCTTGCCTAAGCTTGATGTTTCTAACTTAAAGGGAAGAGATGTTGCTTCAGTGGATTGCAAGTTCAGTGCCCTGAAGTTGTCCATGCAGCCTTGCATTGAACTGTTTCTACTTTAAAGCCTGTATTTTTAGCTTGCCATTTCTGAAGTTTACCTTTCCAGAAATGTAAGACTTAGTATTATTGCAGCCAGTGTTCCCACCTGCTCCAGTAGGGGTGATGGTCCCCAGCTTGACGGCCAGGGGGAAGCCTGTCTCCCTGAAGTGGTCCACGGCATGGTTGTTCCCACCCGACCCGTCAAAGTACCTACGTCCGCACGCGATGCTCCCATCTGTCAGGTTCATCCACAGGTTTTCCACAAGGTCACATCTGGAGCACTTCCAGCCTCTGGAGGTTCAGAAGACATCGTCAGCAAGAAAAAATTTGTCTCCAGTGAAATAAAATCAGATTCAGATTAAAATAAGATTCAGAAGAATACAATATTTACTAGATGTTTGCAATTGAACATGTCACAATGGCTCTTAATGAGGCCTTGGAAAAAATGTTGTGCTTCATGTTTCCCGACCGACCCTAGAAAAAACTGGCAACCCTAGCCTTTTTTTCAAGCTAAATTTTCCAAGCCTAAATTTTTCAAGCTGATCGGCCTTTTCTAGCTCCATGAACTGACATCTGAGTGATGAAACGTTGTAAAATCAGTTTCCCAGCATTCATATTGAAAATATGAGTGCAAGTTTCACTTTGTTAAACTGAATTGTATACGTTGGATCACTAGAGATCACCAAAGTTTAAAAGAAAAACAAAAATAAAACATAGTCCATACCTATCGACCCTAAATTTCTCAAGACTGAAACAGGAAACACTATTTTTTTCCTAGGCCTGAGGATCTGGCAAACCAAAATACTTTAAATTTGACAAAAGTCTGTGACTTACTTGGGAGGCACCTTGACTCCATTGTCCAGCTGCTCTAACTTATCTGCATGTCTGAAAAGTACAAAATTCACAACAAATTCAGTCTGAAGAACTACTAGAAATTTGCTAACAGGAACTTTCTACATTATGTGTATTAACATGTACAAAGTTATCAAGACCCAGGTATGACATAGATATCTCATGATATGAAAGTGAAAGAAGTTGAAGTGAAGTTCCATTATGTTTGGTTGGGAATATAACACTTACTTGCTAACTTGTCTGACCTCTCCATCCCAGGCTTCTACTGCAGACTGCTTGTCAGCTCCTGAAGACTTCAGGATACCTTCTATCGCCAACTGGATCTGTCAGGAATGTGAACAATAACACCAGTCAGACAAACACTCTTACTACTGGTAACTTAGTCTTACTCCTGCAGTACTGAAGGGGCAAGGAGATTAGGTTTTCGTCAGCATCAGTTGGATGGTTTGTGTGGTGGATTAATCAAAGTTACACATGGATTCCAATGGTTTTCTGGAGTGAATGTGCCTTACATTCTGAAACAAACTGATTCAAATTTGAGGGCAATCCCCCTTGCAGATTGCTCACAAATTGCAGCTTCCAGCAAATAAGACACTGTCTGCCAAGACAAAACTATGACTAAAACATTTTTACTAGTAATACATGTAGGTGCAAATGTTATTTCTGCTAGTATAACCAGCATAAAGGCTAGGAAACTCTTTAAAACGTTAAGTTATACCCTTAACCATGGGCTGAAACAGTGCACACTTTAGCACGTAACTGTTCCTTTATAATATATTTTGACTACAGGTATATTTTGTATTGTCTTTGCCTGTTTCTTTTTATGATCCTTACCTGGACAGGTGTGTCCTCTATACTTGGGTAGGGGAAGGACTCATATCCAGGCATCACCACAATGGCAATCTCCTCCTGGATCTCATAACGGCCCTCTTCATTCACATCAAAACCTCCTTCAACACCTACAGGTACAAGAACAAGAACAGAGATAGTGTTTGTTATATTATGTAAATATTTGATTCATTATATTGTTTGAATGTGAGTGCACAAGGGCTCTTTTACTGAGGGGGCTTTCTTGGTTTAAAAGAAAACAGAAATAATTAAATGGTAAAAACTCGAGGCACAGAAAAAATAGCCACCTAACAAAGAAAGCAATTTGTATGATCAGAATCTCTTTCAAAAGTTCTCTCACTTTTAAACTAAAAGTTTTGCCTTCCTTATAAAGATTCAAATTTTTCAAACCATACTTTCTCTTTACCTCACTCTTTCTCTATACATAATCATCATTTCCAATTCTTCATCTAGTAAGTAAGTAACTTATCATACTACATGTACTCCTATTTTGTTATGTGGGTACTTGTACAATTGAAATCTCACCAATGGCCAGCCTTGTTGGTTTCTTGGCTGGAGGGTCATCAGTTTCCCCACCTCCTGCTGCACCTGAGATCTGTGGGAAAGGAACCACATCAACTGTCACAACGATTTCATTCTCAAATCTCAAGTTTGGAAGTTTATGTACGATGGGACTCTTCCCAGCAGTATAGTATTTGTCATACATACTTCATACATTGGCTCTCAACCATTACACTTACAGTTACAGACACACATGCCCACATGTAGAGTGCTGCACATTACAAGGTATGAGCTAGGGGCACTAGAAAGTTATTTTTCTTGATTCAATGCCTTGCTACATCAGGGTCATGTGGCGCAACAGCAGCGTGCGCGACTCGGAATGAGGAGGTCCCGGGTTTGAGTCCTGACATGCTACCGATCTTGTGCCCTTGGGAAAGGCACTTTACACGACTTTCCCCCGCTAGACTCAAGTGAAAATGAGTATTGTCTGTCCTGTATTTGTTTCTTAATGTACGGGACACAACACCAGCAATAACTGCCTCTGTTCCGCGTGTATTGCACTGTTGCAATTTCAATAAATCAAATCAACCACTGTACCTCTATTTTGGTCCTCTTCAGGTGCAGGTAGATGGGGTTCTCTGGGAACTTCTCATAGAACTTCTGGACATGCAGTTGACACAGGCCCATGTACGACTTCAAACACACAAACAGGCCACCTTCAGACTCCTGAAAAAATATCAACAAAAAGATACATTTACTTCTTTGCAAAATTACAACTTACAAATGTAGGTAAATATCAAATACAAGGCCAATTGTTTTACCAACTAAAAGTGTCTTAATAATACATACTGTGCTATGTTTTTATCATCTTGCTGTAAAATCTCCATATTAGAAGTCTAGGCAATTTTCTGTACTAGTATGTGCTTTATTTCAACAAACTTTACATAGGAACTTGACATTGAATAACATTGAACTAGTTGGCCAAAGTTAGAAGTCTGTAATACAGTATACATCCCCCTATTTGGTACTCATCAGTCAAACTCAAGATGACCATGACATTATCCAGGTTAAAATCAATCCCCAGACACAGACATATGACATCCCAGACTGAGGAAGTGGGTCAGCTGGTAATCTATCTCATACAGAACCATCTCCATGACAAGACTATGTACTGTTGCTAGGCAACCATGCCATGTTACCAGGCAACACAAGCCCAGTTACTCCAGACAAGGCCTGGCCTTACCATAAATAGCTATAGCCTTTATCAATTTCAGTTGCATCACTCCAAAAATATCTTGGCACTCAGTGACATTATGTTTTATGTGATTCATAAATGGAATACTGCTTCGCACTCAAGGCCGACAATCTGGGGAAATGTTTTCTTTAATGCAAAACTGTGCTCTTGGCGTAAGACCAAGTACTTTACAGGATGGTAGAAATAGGAATGTTCTCACATGTGGCTTACTTATTCTTGGAATGGAACCTTTCACTAGTTTAAGTTTGGTGCCAAACAGCTTTCAAAGGTTGTACCTTCAGGCTACAAGGAAATCGAAGAGATCAAACATGCCTAGTTTTGTACAGGTTTGTGACTGTGAGTGAACAAGACATCAAACTTTCAAAGTACATCTACTGTTTACTCATTTCTGTCTATTAATTTATGAAGATGTTAATTGGGGTCACAATTAACAAAAGGACCTGATGCAAAATGAGTATACAACTGATCCTGCCATAGAGCATTTCAACCAGGTGGGATTTTTCTTGCCGACCAAAGATTCCATTGTAACAGGAGCCTAAGCCACATACCTTCTTTACTACATAGTCTATGCTTGTTTTATGTAGGTCTGCCAAAATGCCAGAAGTATGTAGCAGAGTCTCATCTATACAAACAAAGCCAAACGATAAGAAAATGCAGAGGTTATCTTCCCTGGCAAATGTTCAAGACTGACTTACGACTAGTAAAAGTAAAACTGAAAAAAATATCTTCATGCAATTGGCTCTTTCTCACATATTCTCTCCGGCGATATTGACATTTCAAATTTCTTTGACAATTAATCCATATATGCATGTACATCTGTTAAGTCATTTTAAAATGTCAGGCCACTTTTTCCAGTTCAAAACATTCCTTCACGACATCAAATTTGAGGCAAAATGCACAGTTTTATATCTCTGTATAGATAAAGCGGAGACAAGGCGATTAGAATCGTTTACATCTCTTGTTGAACCAGACAACCAATATGGCATTTCGCGAGGTCCCTCTAGACTGTAGTCAGCCATATTGGGCATGGTGTTATCCACACATGGAGCTATTTTTATCTCCCATTCAGACACATATCTGCTGGACTACCTACCACCCTCCCACTTCCCCATTCCTCTGATTCCTAATGTCACACTGGGAATACCTAAATGCCGATCATCTAGCATCTGTGTATGAGATGGAGTGGCCACACCTACAAATTACAAACACGTACACACAGACTGACAAATCAGTCAATCTTTTGTTGTGCATTTATAAATTATTGCCAGATTATGTGCTTTAAGTCGTGGTCATTTGCAATCATGTGTGCAAATGTGTGCAAGCCAAAGCAGGCCTAATTTGTATATTTTTGCTGCTTTGTTGTATAGCATATGATGCTGAATAAACATTCTTATCATAAATCATGGAATATCAGAAAACCTTTAACTCATAATCGGCCCTATGTTCAACTGAAAAAAGTCTTTGTTCTCCAGTTCTGTTTTCTTACTAAAAGTTTTACTTTTAGGGAAATCTACACAGATCTATGGAGAAAAACTAGAGATTGAATATTATTTTGCATAAATTAATGCACCATTTACAATGGCATTAGAGACTGAGGTCAAAATGTAACACTATTATTCACACACCACTGTATTTGACAAATCTTTTATCTCACTGAACAAAATTACTGAAAAATCATCAAACATATCTGCATCCTAGAACAAGAATCCATAATTTGCATGTTTTCCAGCTCAGCTGTAATACCAAGAAAATTAATTGGTTATACAAACATCTGCAACTTCCTTCTGAATCCAGAGCCGAAAAACTTTTGTCCATAAACAATAAAATCCTCCAACAGTTATTCATTATTTCAAGGATGGTTAGTTCCATTCATTTTGTTCTTGGCCTTTGAGTTTGACAGTTGAGTGAGCATGTTAGTAAACGGATTATGATGCATTCACTGTCTCCTGGCTTTTAGAGCAGTGATACATTTTTATTTCATTTTATTCTGGATGGGTTGATCGTATAACCACATCACATGCGTCTACTAAATTCTGCAGTCTCATGTCATCCCTCCCCATTCAACTGCAAATCATGCCATGCCCAGAATACCACCAACAAAGTCGGCACAGATCCGACCGTATAATTCCAGATAGAAAGTTACGAGAAAGGTGGGATGAGGTTCAGACAAAAGTAGAGTGTTTGACTTACCGGGTTGTCGTAGCAGTATATGCATTCATCCTTGTATATCTTCTCCCCACCCCGCGGAACTTTGACGCAGGGGAGATAGCCGTACAGAGTTTCCAGTGCCGACATCTTGGATTTGAGACCTCAACCGCATCCAAATCACTTAATATAGTGAGGCTGTGACTCACACGGAGATTGATGTCAAAATTATCAGTTGATTTTCATCGATATAAAATATGATTTACGAAAATGATAATAATGTAGATTTATTCTTCTCTCTAGAGCAATTTTCTGATTTTGATCACTGTTTTTCATTGCATGTTTTGGCTTTCTCTATCTAAGTCTCGGGGTATCTCGCGAGATTTTTCAGCAAAGAAAATGTTGTGGTTGTTACGGTATCTTTGATTGGACGATACTGATCACGTGACGTGCGGATAAGCCTATCAGGGCATTGTATGGAAATATCCAGGTACTAGTCCGTGATTGGCGGAGGCGGTAACTTTAAAAAATTGTTTTCATACAACATCCGCAACGTCCATTGTGTTTTGTACAACAAAGCAGACAGAACGTATCTTCACTGCGATTTCCGGGGTAAGTTTGAAAGAGTTTATATTTCCCTCCACTCGGCAGATTCATGCAACTTGCTTTGGACAGTTTAGTAGACAAAAGGAAGGTCGATCGGGACGTACCGTGCTGCATGCAGTACAGAAAAGCGATCCAGCAGAAAAGCGTGGGGCTGGAACTTGGAAGGTGAACTGGTTGTTTGGAGATTTTGTGTATCGTTGTGTAAAACTGACTTCAAAATTTATGACTTGCTGATTCATAGTCCCTGTAGATGGTCTCCCTGCATAAACATTACTATGACTGACTGGCGATGCATGAAACTAACCTGCTTGGATTATCGTGAACGTTATTTTTTCGCATCCTTCTCTGTAGCCGAGCTCACCAGTAACACACACACAGATTTTGTTAGAAGGCCGTGTAACCTACATGCTGGATACTGCACTATCATATTACAGTTACAAGCTTTAATACTCCAAGAACCCGCGAAATCTTGTGTTCAACTTCAATTTTTAACGATAAAACCGACGCGAGAGTGTGCGCATGCGCGGAGGGCTTTAATTACTGTGACCAATGGATTAAAAATCATGAATGGATACTCTCCAAGCAGAGGTTTGGGTTTTGGGGGTATTTTTAGCGTGTTTTTAGGCTTTTTTATCGGGGTTTCTCTTTTGCACTGAATTTTTTTTCCCACCAAACCCAACCTCTGCAGGCAGTCGAAAACTTCAATGGGCTATAAACCTAATCATTTCAACACATTTCAGTCCTTCTGCAAGGAGGTGTGAACCAGATGCATGAATAGGCACAGTCAGCAGGAGGCGTGTGGCCCAATGAATGCCTTTCCGACTGCCTAGAAGTGTGATAATCCACCACAATAAAATGGATATCCCTAATGACAGTTTGATGGTTCCCGGGGAGGGGCACTATCGCCTGTTTTGAATAGGTTTGCCCCTCCCCGAGGTGAGTGCCGGCAGAGGTTGGGTTTGGTGGGGAAAAAAATTCAGTGCAAAAGAGAAACCCCGATAAAAAAGCCTAAAAACACGCTAAAAATACCCCCAAAACCCAAACCTCTGCTTGGAGAGTAATGAATGGATGCATGTGTTCAATTATGTCCTTTTCTCTGACAGAGTACATGTTGAAGAAGAGACATGGGTGCCTTTGAGAGTAAGACCTGGGCCAGTCTGGAGGACTCCACCAGTAGTACACCTCCAGAACAGCGCAAGGTGCTGCAGTTTGACCCCCGGTCACCAACTTCAGGCATCGACAGAACACCTATTCAGGTACACATTCTCATGTGCATGTACTTCCTAAAATAATGGGAGCCAGTAAGAGTTGTTAAGTGTGGTTTGGATTGTCCCTAACACTAACAGAAATTTAAAGTTGAACGCTTTCATTTCAATGTTTTTGACCATTCATGTACAGTACAAGAGGCATTTTTGTGACCTAAAAATTTTATTTCTTTTCCCCGGTCAAGGTTGAGAAGACCACAACAGTTTTTGTGGACCCACGTTCGCCCACAAGAGAAGTTGACAGGACACCAATAAAGGAGTACAGAGGTATTTCTCCCCCCCTCCCCCTACCCTGAGTGCCAGACAAGTTTTGGGCCGTTGAGCCGTTTTCCTGTGGCAGCCAGAAGGCCTTCGCCCGCCTATCTAAATTACCCCTGTGGTGGTGTATTACGAGGCCCTGCACTGCACCTGGGCTAGCAGCCTGAAACTTATCTGGCACCCAGGGTACCCCACCCCCTTCTCTCTCTGGGAACTCGCTTTACACATTACCATCAAAAGAAAGGGTTGAATCATGTCTCAACACAGAACAAAGAACTGCTGTACCTTTGAAGGAAGAACATGTCCTATTTTATTCCTAACTAGCCATTTCCACCCCCAGAGCCGTGGTGCTATGACTCGGAGCTGTCCCTTGACCTCAGCACCTCCTCCGTCTGCCGTCTCCTTGACGACGACCCCGATGCCTCGCCCCAGATGCCTGACATCGAGGTGACCCCGCCCGGCCGGGGGAGTGACAGGTAGGAGTACAGGAGAGTTGAACTTTTGGTCAGGCCCAAAATGTACGTGTAGATTAGTATGCAAATTGTCTTTTCTGACACGTTGAAATCGTCAAAAGACATGGATGTAAGAAGAGTACAAGTACGTATACTGTAATTCACTTCATGTGCACAGTAGCAAAATTTCACAGTCTGAGAAAAATGGAGGTGCTCAAGGAACTATACTATGTTCATGGTGGTAGCTAGGGGGATGGGGACAAAACACTAATTATAAGTTTGCAGTACAGAAGACAAGTGACCAGGAAACTGAATGTAAAAGTAGTACTGAGCCTGTAATTCTTGATTTTTTTCTCTCTGAGAGAAAAAAAATCAAGAATTACAGTAAAATATTGAAGCTCCTGAATAAAAATCTTAGCGTAAGTTTTTCGTTGCAAAGTGACTGATAGTGAAGTAACTAGGTAATGTGCGTTGGTATGCATAAGTGAAAAATATTTACCAAAGTAAATATGTCCCCTGTCTCCCCTGTCCAGATCATCCCGGCAGACCCCCCAGTACGAGCGTGAGCTGTGTGACATGATGGACAATCTGACAGACGGCTGCACCACACAGGAGGACACCAGGCTACTCAAGGCTAAAGGTCGGAAAATAACCTCCAAGCAGAAGTGGGGGTGGGGTAATGGGATGTTCAGTAAGTCTCATTTTGTGACAGTATGCACCCTTGGAGTTGGAGTGGGCTGGCATCAGCGTGACTTAACTTACATTTCACTCTGCCATCATGTTTTTAAATCTTGCACCTGTACATAATGCATTTGAGATTATCTGAAGTTAACATTGTGAAAATGAAACTAAAAAGGTTGATTGACCTTTGAAATGGTATAAGAGCAAAGTTTCACTTGTGTGGCGTGAAATTGTATTTGCACCTAATGGTAACAGCTATAACAGCTTAAACAAGAGTTACAGTTGCCTTTTCTCACGTGTGAGTGCTTCACATTCTAACATCGTGTCCAGATGATTCCATATTAACAGACTTCAGCTTCAGGTCGTAGTCTAATTTTCTTTTTGTACTGGTTATCAGAAGTACATTTAGCTTCCCAGCAATTCATGTATTGACAGCAGACAGGGGTACCAAACTACAAGTATTTATAAGTCCTTTTGGGCTGTAGAATAATTTAGATGTCGTGACTGATTTTTACCACTTGTATAATTTCAGAAGCTGTGAAGCCAGCAGAGAAGCCAGTAAAAATCCACCCCAACAACAAGAAGGTCCTGTTCACGGCAACGGGAAACCTTCCGCGGTCACCGCTGACTACCAGGAACGAGGAAAACCCGCGCGTCATCGTACAGCAGAAGCAGATGGCGCGACTGGGGCTGACCAAGACCGTACAGCGCCCGATCAGGCTAGCGTCCAAGTACGAACTCTTCTCCGACAAGGAGAATGTGGAGATCGAGTGAAAAGACATACATTTTGTACCCGGGCTTTTCTTTTTGAGAAGCGGTACACTTCTAGTCACAGGGAATGGTGTGTGAAAAACAGACACTGTCACAAACATCCATGCTGTTTTATTATTAGCCTGCCATGTTATGCTATAAGCAGCATTTGACTAACATTTCTAAACACTGTTTCTTCTTTGTACATAAATGTAAATATACTCCTGCACACACATGTACTAAGGATGGCTGTTCTGTAGAACACTTGGAATGGTAGCTGCGATGATTTCTTGGGTCGTGGATAGTTTGTATTACTGGAAAAAAGACATTTAGTTTTTATAATGATGACGGTATTTCAAAGTAGATGTTAGCTTCTCATGACATGTTCTCTAGGGCATAGAAAGATTTTATATTCATAAGTTGTGTATTCCTAATGATGCACTTCAAAGCAAATACCAGAATATCATTTACAGCACAAAATAATTTCATTCAAATAAGATTAAGGCTACATTGTTCTAATTTCAATAATAAAAGCTTATCATACAGATGTTATCAAGACTATTGAGATCAGTATGTGTTGCACTAAAATATGGTGAAATATGGGGAAGGGACAGACAACTGTATATCAAACCACTGCCATACAACTAGATGTTTATGTTTATGCTTTTATTTGTGAACAAAAATGCTTACACCTTTTTTATTCTTGTGACAATGGTGCTTGTTATCTAGTAAATCTGCAGTTTTTTTTTAGGATATTGAAGCATGTACATGATTGTACTTTCTGTCACTCTTCTCTTTTGTGAAAAGCACATAATGAAGGGATTACGGGTTGTATTAGTATTACTAAGAACATTTTTAAACCTCTAAGACTTGTTTAGTTGATCAGTGTAAATATCCTAACATTTCATCAAAAAGAGCCATGTGTTGTCAAATTCACATGTCCTATAGCACTGAACAAATTTTCTTGAACCTAAAAGTTTACTACAGTATAGTGTTACATGTATCAGCTTTTATAGGGTGTAGCTAATCAATGTTTAGAATAAGAAATAAACTAATTTCACTTAAAGCATTCTTGTCATGCTCTTTGTATTATACCCCTATATTCTTAACCCTCAACAGTACACCTTCCCGGACTGATTAATCTGTACACCTGGGGTCCGCGCGGACCCCAGAACAGTTTTTTGCTAATTTTTAGAAATTATCAACATGCTACCAGCTCAATTGTTTTTCAAACTGATGTGGGAACCTCTGTGTCCACATTACATACAAAAATCATACATTTTGAACTTTTTCTATTTTTTGGTGAAGAAAAGAAGACAAGAAGAAATACCCGATTTTTAAACCCATTTCAGACTGAAGGGGCTTTTGAGGCCCAACTTTGATCTCAGATAGCGGCTAAACGGCTTGCGCTAGAAGTATCAAATTTGGAGACCTTTCCTAAAATGTCTCTGGAAAAAAGTTCATATTAGTTTGATACTAGTAAGTTGATATTTTTTTGTGTTGCCATGGCAACGGGTTTTTAGCAGGCAGTTTTTTTGAAAATATAAGTAATTTTGGTTTAAACATTAAAATTTTCTGAGTTTTATATTAAATTACACTTCTTTTCAAACATTAATAACATCTTACATAATTAAATATAAGTTAAATCATTTAATATGCATAGAATATGCTAATTTGATGACGTCATTGGTCAAAATCCAATATGGCGGACTATATTATTAGCTCTGACGTCATATGACGTCATAATTACACAAAAGTTATTAAAATCTAATTCTATTACTACACAATTCTCTAAAAAACTTGGTAGACATACGATGAGTGCATAAAAACATATAAAAACGGAAATAAGGTAATGTATAAGAACGCCAGTGTATCCATTATGATCGAAAGCCGGCTGGGGTCCGCGCGGACCCCAAAAGAAAATCAAATATAATTTTTTTTATAAATGGTAGAAACGGAGTTTTCTGCAATGTATTGAGAGACAACTTTGTGGGTGACAATTACCTAAAATTTCAGAAAAAAATCTTTAGAAACAAAAAGATATTACAGAATATATAGTGCTGGGGTCCGCGCGGACCCCAGGTGTACTGTTTAGGGTTAACTTAGGCCATGTTGATTTGATTATATGGATGACATCCGCGCGCGCATGAATTTTCGGCCGTTTCCAAAAAAAAAAAAGTTTTCAACCATACTGTAAATCGTACAAAACAGTTGTAAAATGAGCAAAAATATACCGTAAGTTACAAAAAAATAAGTAAAAACTATACCAATGTCGTAGAATGCCAAAATCAAACAAAAAAAGACGAAATTGTAAGGAAATGAACTTGAAGATTAGATTATTCGCCAAACCATATTCTGTCCCATTTGTTCAACCGTCATGACCACGTAGATTTCATAATGAAAACAACTTTTTTTTTGCAAAACTTTTTTTTATTCGCACGCGCGCATCAGTTTTGGGGCTCCCGGAGGATGTCATTAATATAATCAAATCAACATGGCCTTACGATTATTTATGCCTAGTGATCATGATTTTTTTCTTAGAAGTTTTGGAGAAATTCAAAAGGCTCTGTTTTGTTTGCTTTTTTATTACAAAGACGACAAAAACTGACTTTATTATATGTCTAATTAGTCAATCGTGTCAGATACAGACACTTCGTCAACACTAGTACTAGCAACATAATTAAGATCGTAATAAAAATGCACAGCAAGCAATGTAGGAACGAACTTGAATCAGCATTGCAAGCCAGCTGCTCACTTTTCAGTGGCGCCTAGTTAGTCAATCATATCAAATACAAACACTTCGTCAACGCTAATACGAACAACATGAAATTAAAACTTGTAATAAAAATGCACAGCAAGCAATGTAGGAGCCTGAACCGGCATTAGCAAACCATCCACTCTCTTCAGTGGCTCAGCAAAAGGGTGATCTATCCTTTTCTGGCATAAACCTTTGGATTCTTGGCTGTAAATAAAAGACAATGATACACCGTTAGTTTAAGGGGAAAGTTGAGCAATCATCTAACAAAAGCAAACAAAATCGCAAAATAATTTGAACAGACCGTTTTCTACTGCGGATAACTGACGACCTGATTGGTCGTCGCTGTGATCACGTGTCCTGCACAATTGGGTCATTTTTCTTGAAGAACACGAAAATAATCTTCTGAGCAGGTACCTTTCGTTGGCAAGACAGTATCCAGGACGGCCTGACCTATGGTGGCTAATGGACACTCTTCAGCTGACCAATGGACACTGCCTCGCCACCATATGATCTGCTTCGGAGATTACAGGCATTACACGAAAGCACACTTCCTACCTGCATACACCTCCACTTCACACAGCGTAAGTATTCGCGCTGGTCCAGGGAGGCTCACCCCGACATACCGGCCCCAGAGCCCGCCACAGTCGATGTAGAAGACTCCCTTGTTCGTGTAGTCGCTCCCCCACTCACCGCCACACTGCTGGCTGGACGCAAGCGGGGCTGCGTGTCTTTTAAAAATATCAGGAGTGAATAGATATTAAAGCCGTTTGATCCCACAAAATCTGCAACCTGACCGCTCTACTTCCGTGATAATTATAAGTACGGAGAATCTGTCTAACTCATAACAACACATCCGTTGTGGAATTTATACGTTACAAATAGCATATTTTGTTTTATCATCGCTTTTACATTCTTGCAATTGCTTGAGTGGCAAAGCGATCGATTGCATTTTCAATTTTTCCGCAAGGTGACGCTATGGCAAGAAGAGTATGGTCCTATGGTCCCGTATTGCTCGTCACGGTGAGGATATTGACTGCGGTTGTAAATCTAACCTAGTCTCCACCAGACTTCTTTTGCGGGGGGACTAAATTGTAGAAATCGGCCTAAAAAGGGTATTGATTGGCCAGAGAAGGTAGCCGGCCAAAGAAGCTCCATTTTCTCGGCGGGGAAATGGAGCTTCTGGTGGAGTCTGGTGGAGACTAAATCTAACCTCAGCAAACTGCATGCCGTTATTTGTGGAACATAATTGACCAAAGTACATCTAGTATTAAAGTAAGGAAAATAACCCACATGCCGCTATCGACGAGTACAATGAAGGGGTCGATCCTGTCGGAGCAGCAGTCCTGGCGGTTGTAGATCTTCACCGTGCCGATGGGATGCGGGGTGACCAGGTCTACATACCTGCAGAGACGTAACACTGATTATTCAGGGTCCACGTCAAACCAGCTAGAGTCGTTACCTTCGGTTTGTGTACCCTTATCTGAGGGTCAACTATAGTCATTAATTGTTTAAAGTTAAAGCTTTTGGTCCAACACAAAAATTCTCTCACCTAGAGCTTTCGACCAGTCACTCTAGTCTTCCTCAGTAGACTGACCCAGTGAGGATTGTCACGTGGCTTCTTTGAAGTGTGACGTCAACACCGAGTCAAAGGTATCTTGTAGACGATGTCGGCCCCCGTCGCGGTTAAGTGAGGCTGACATCCTCTACCAGATAACTTTGACTCAGTGTTGACGTAAAACTTCAAAGAAGCCACGTGACAAGCCTCACTGATCTGAGTCAGTCTACTGAGGAAGGCCAGAGTCACTGGTCGAAAGCTCTAGGTGAGAGAATTTTTGTGTTGGACCAAAAGCTTAAACTTTAAACATGTAACTACCAACACAGATGAACTTTCATGATAGTGTAGTCATTACTATTTTTCATTGGTTTGCCCACCGGGTCAGTGAAAAAAAAAGGTCTACATACCACCACGGGTCTGTCTCCTCGGCCGTGTGGGTGCACGAACCGCCGCTGTGCTGATTGTAGAACTGGTTGGTGCTCCCGTCGACGGCCTTGTTTGCGAAACCGTAGTACCCGGTACTAGACTGTACAGTGGGCTTGTCCCTTGCTATGTTTTGCCCTATAGGAACAGACAACACACATTTTACACGATGAGTCAGTACACTAGACTACGTACAGTTACATGACGGCTCATGCACTAACTACAGCTGCTTCAGTCTCATATGACAGGTTACCCATTTGTAGTGTGACTACTCCCGATCAGTTTCCATCACGATATTGATTGCCCAATATATATTAAAGCACGTTTAAAATTACATAAGT